AAGTTCCATCTGTCCTAACTGAAGGTACTCCAGCATAAATTTCGAGTAATGTTCTCTAACAGAAATGTTTTTACTTAATTTAGCTTCAAGGTAATTAAATCTCTTTAGAGCTTGTAAGGATGTTCAAATTCTTATTAGATTTAAATTAAACTTTCGCAATCAGCATCATCTTTGGTTCTCAACTCAGTTTGGGGAATCGATTCAAGTTCCAAAAAAGCTTTCAATTGACTTTCTACAGCATCAACTAGGTGGCAGTTCAGAACCCTCTGTTTACATTATGTTTGACTTGAAATACTTTTTGCTTGTTACTCAAGAAATTTAGCCAAATCTAAAAATGTTAGAATATCATGATTAATTAAAGATAATTCCCATCTTTGCCTTATCATCTAGTTTTCCCAAAATAAAATAAATTAAAATAACATCTACCATAGAATCAACTTCTAACTTAAAGAATTCGAATAACTTCATTACACATATCTAAAATTCCAAATATAAAAGTCACAGAATTAGATTTAACTGCCTTTAGACTAAAAAGTTTTTAAATTTGCGCGAACGCTAATTCACGTTTATTATGATATGTCACAACTAGAGTCTGCTAAGTGGGCTCATAGTTATCTGTGAGTGAAAATCCGGAAATAGGTTCGTGTGCAGTACCCTTTAAACTAGCAAACAAATATTGAAATTTTTGAAGTTCTGTTAATTCTGGATTTTTATCTATCGAACTCAAAAATAATTCTTTAAATGACATCCAATTATTGAAATCCCCATAAAAACTGGGTAACTCGAATTTAGGCAATTTTAAACAAGATTCAGTTACTTTCGATTTAGGTTCCAGAAACGGCATTATTAGTGTTGCTTACTTTTTATTTCAATTCAGACATTTCCGCGCGCTATATTAATTCTCAACGTATCAATATTAGATGCCAAATCATCAAATTCTTTCATATTGCTAGCCTCTTCCTCACTCTTACAAGAAACTATAATTTCCGTATGAATCTCATTAAGCTCCACCCAAATTTCATTCATTTTTGCCGAAAAAAACATCTAATTCCACTCTTTCAATTTCCCAGATTCAAATTTCATTTCAGAATAATGTTTATACGTGTTACTTTTCCTTTCAAAATACTACGTTTTGTCTTTAAAGACTCCATTATAATTACAGAATACAATATTTGAGACAAATATTTATTGATGGATGATTTATACATAACATTAAGATTCTATTTTCCATTGAATAGTAAATGAGTGATAGACTTTTCACAGGCCATACTGCCAAATATAACATTACTCGATCATCTACGAACCATTACGAATGCGAACTAACTGAAAAGAGAAACAAAAAATAATATGAAAAAAAGTCTAAACAATCAGAAAAAAGAAAATCTTACATGTATAACTGCTTCCGTTTTTTTTCTTTTATTGATTTTCAAATCAATGGTCATTTTTGATACAGGACTCATTCAGACTTGAATAAACCACTATTCGCGATCACAACCAGTGCCGTTCCTGGCGGGTATGCAGCGAATGCCCCGCACGCAGGCGCCCAATTTAAGGGGCGCCAAATTCAACTATTCAACTATACACATAGTATATAGGGGCGCACAAAATTATTCTTGCACGCAGGCGTTCGCCACCCCAGGAACGGCACTGATCACAACGCTCGAATATGTCATCTGGGAAGAAGTTCCATATAGTTTCCTAATTTAAAATTTTAATCTATTTTAAAATCAAGAGACAAACTGACGTACTTCCTTCTCGCATGTGGAGATCTCCATATGTTAATGGAAGGCATGCAAAGTGTTGCCATAAGTAGAGAGTTCTGCTCTACGCCAAAATTCTATAAAACCCCGCAAAAAATGTGTTACTGTACGGAATTTTCCTACTAAATATCGAAATTAAAATATGAGGCTCTATGAAAACTTCAGCTGTATTAACGATGTTGCTGTCGTTGTTGCCATAAAAATAAGTAAAAACCAAACATGACATTTTCATGCACTTGAGCACATTGCACATTGAAATTAGTTTAAAACTGTCAATATAGTTTCTGGAAAAATTTCAAAAACCACATATGTAAACAAAACCTGAGCAAAAATAGTTTTTATGTAAACGCCCTGCACAGTTTATATAAAAAATATACTTTTATGGTAAATAGCGCGTTTTCTGTATGTTACAGAGGTTCCATACAAGTGTCAATGCTTCATGGGATTATTTCCTGATCCATATGACTGTTCCAAGTACTACAAATGCACTTTCTATAAACCAAGTTCGAAAAGAACATGTGGAAAGAATTTTCTTTTTGACGGAGGCCATAAGTGCAGAATTGACGGACAATGCAAACCAGAGGGGGAAGTGAACTGTGGATCAAGGAAAAGGCCGACAAGTAATGAAAGATTTTTTTTTCTTCCTGTGATCATACAAATATTTGCAATATTTACATTACTTCCAATTTGCTAGACTGAGGGTCCCTAGGTAAATCCAGGGTGCGTAACCAAATCTTTGAATCAAAAATAAGCACTTTTTAAAAACTTTTCAAGCACTTTACAAAAATTTTCAAGCACTCAAAAAATTCATATTCAATCAATGATATTATTGAAAAACAAAAACTTTTTATAAACAGTTTTAGCGTTAAAAAAAACCCAAAAAGAAACGGGCGTAAATCGAAACAATCAGTACTTTCCCACATCACCGAGTGAATTCAACTTGACCCTGAACTCAGAACAAAAGTACCCTTACCCCCTACGTCAAAAAAAGTGTTAGAAGTAAAATAAAATAAACAAGAACAAAATTAAAATAAATTAAAAAGAAAAACATTTCATAAGGATCTGATATTCTCTATCCGAATTGGAGCACTCGGGTTTCGGTTTCAAGTGTGCGCGCATGCGCAAGTCATAACGTGGGTACGACATGAAGTCCGCGTGAATGATTACGTAGCAAACTCCCCATTTTTCGTGAAATGCATGGGATCCACCAGATATCACTGAAGAAAAAAAAATTATTTGTGGAAAAAAAGCACTTTTTAAAAACACCAGCTGAAAAAAGCACCTTTAAAAGCTTTTAAAAACGAAATCCCCAAAAAAGCACCTTTAAGTACTTTTTACAAACGCTACGCACCCTGTAAATCATTTTGCGGGATCTTTGAGGTTTTCATCCCTCTAGGGTGAACCTACGAAATGCTAAAGATTATAAATTTTAAAATATTTAGCGATCAAGCACAAATACTTTTTTATTATTAAATGAAGTCTATATATTTTTTTTCCGAATATTATTTCTAAAAATGAACAACTTTACTTCAAATATTGTGACATTCCGTCTTTCTATTATCAGAAAAACATATTTTTTAAATTGGATATTGTTCAGTCTTCCATTCAATTTTGCTGTGTGTCATGACAGAAGTGGTGAGTTCTTATCAAATTCAATACATATTTTTTCTTTGCACTAATCAAATTCCTATTTCTCATTTTATAGAATGTACTAACTTAATACCCGTTTTTCTTATAGTGGGGAGAAAGAGAAAACTATAAGAAACGGTAACGGTATTAATAAACATTACAAAATCATGTACAAGACTAAGCATATACTGATGCAATAAACAAAACTAAATAATTCCAACTTTTTTTAAAATTTAATATTACGTGTTCTTCCAATTATTTAAAATCATTTTTCATAACGCTGTTGCTTGAAGCCAACTCATAACAGTCAAAATTTACGACAGGCAAGCAATTTTCTACTTTATTTATTCCTTTCGGAGTGATGGTATAGCCATGAAAATTGTCTTCCACAAAGGCTAGTCCGCCGCCAAATGCTTGTTCCCACACTCACTTGTCTTCTGGATTGGGTTCAAAATTACGAGGAAACGGAGTAGTATAGAAAAATAATGAGTTGTTCTATCCATTAATTTTTCATTTTAGTAGATTTTAGCTTCTTTTTTGCTAATTTACCATTGATTATAAATTAACATTAACGTGTTTACACACATATGTATATATATGGAAAGGCAAGTCTGCAGTTAAAATATAATTCTTTTTAAGTTTAGTTTTAAGATCCTTTTAATTAAGCTATTATTTTAGAAGTTACATATATATACATAACATTCGTGTGGCATCACTAATCATAAAAAGATTTTAAGATAAATGTTGCGTCAGGTACATATTAGAGGCTTTTTTCTACGCTATACATTTACAAATCTTAGACAATCCTCTTCCATCTACTCCCATTCTTGCAAAAAGAAATTTCACTATTAACGCTAGTTAATATTTTTAATATAAACTATATACCTATCTTAAAAGCTACCTATTAGGTATGTAAAAAACTTTCTCTGGCAAGAGGGGTCAAAGATATAAAACTACAGCTACATAATTTTGTGACCAAAGGCGTGATTTTGGACGTGTGGTCAGATTTACTTCTTTGAAGAGCTGGTTTCCATCGATCTGAATATATGCGGGCTTTAAGCTGCTGCCATGGATAGAATCCCAGATCTACACATTGATACCACTGAGCCATGGTTGCTCTTAAATTATGCAACATGTTGCAATTCAAAAAGAACATACTACTCTATACTAAATTATAAATTGTCCATAAATAAAATTACCAAATTCAATCTATTTTTGGGGATAATTAGGCAATTTTCAAATGAACTAATACAGCTAAGTCTCTAAACCCATGCATTTTTTATTTTTTTTTATTGAACATTAAAAAGCTTCACAACATGAAAAGAAAAAAAAATAACACAAATTAAATATAATTTTTTATTTAGAACTTATGATTTTTTTATCGTCTTAGTTAGCCATGGTTGGTCTTATTTAATATAGGAAAATTATAACAGCTGCAATAAAAAATAGAATGTATGTTTATAGATGATAGAGAGTAAAGTAGGTCATGAAATTCCATATGATCTGGAAATTCTTTCATGGCAGGTGAAGGTGATTTCTTTTATAGTGTAACAAAATTGTGTAACATCTATCTTATAAAAAATAAAACAATAATTCTTTTTATAAACTTAGGTGAAACCACAGTCGGTACAACTCCTATACCAACAACACCAGAACCTACAACAACTACCTCACAGCCAACAACCACTCCACCTACAACTGCACAGCCTACCACCACCCCGCCTACCACTACACAGCCAACCACCACTCCGCCCACCACCACACAACCAACCACCACTCCACCCACCACTACACAGCCAACCACCACCCCACCCACGACTGCACAGCCAACCACTCCAACTCCAAAACCAACTGGGCCACCTGAAACAGATTGTGATGAGGATGATTTGGATTGCATCATTAAAGAAACTGGTGATATTTCTGCATGGTTTGAATGCCCAGAAGCAATTGGAGCCTATCGCCATCCAAGTAGCAATAAGCTCTTCATTTTCTGTAAGAATTGGAAGCCCCTTGTGAAGAAGTGTGGTCAGAAATCAATATATTCTGAACAAATGAGAACTTGCATTACGCCATAAGATGAAGAGAAAAAAAATGTTAATTTGATTTTTAATTTGATTTTATTTTAACATTAAAATTGGTTTTTTAGTTCATAGTTATGTAAGAAGAACCAAAAATACTGTTCTTTATATAAATAAATCTTAATATAATAAATGTTTGTGGCAAAAAAATATTTACTGTAGAATATATTTCTGTAAAGCCTGACAAATTGAATTCCATTATCAAGAACGAGTTTTAATAAGAAAATCCAAAGCCTCTGTAACTTAACCACCTGTCTGAAATTAGCCAAATTTGTCCAGGTTCCAGTCATGTCATTCATATACTCTAGATAAGATATCATAAAAAAATTTACTCATCCTACTTTATAAGTATACCACCAGTCTAAGTTGATCACTAAAACACTCTGTAAGTGGATAATTTACATAGTTTTCACTGTATAAGGTTTTGTGCTCTCAATGATGGTAATTGGCCATTTTTTCAATCTACCAATAAAATATTTAAGTTACATTGATTTTAACCCTCCCTACTACGAAAATTTTTAACATTTGTGTTTCTTTCAAATGAGTATTAAAGTACAAATGGCATTTCGTAACATTAAATAAAGAGATAAGAATTAAAAAAATTTTAAATAAAAAGATATAAAGTTATTTACAGATATAGAATAATTTTATTTAATATACTTTACCACAAAAATATTATTACATAGCATCCTAAGACATAAAAGCTATAAAACATTAAACTCAGTTTATTTATATCCGTTCTTAAATTTTAAACTCATGTTATTAAAACAGCTGATAGAGAATAAAAACAGGCAGGAAGTGTAATTTGGCAAGCAACAAAAAATTTTAAGAAATAATTAAAAACTCCATTTGCAGAAATTCAAATAAAAGAATAGAAACTTTAACATTTTGATCTAACTATAAACTTCACATAGGAACAAAAGCAAACAAAACAAACATTAACCAACAATATTTAAAAAATTTTACAATGCACAACAGATGTAGATATTTGAACATAAAAAAACATATAAAGAATTGAAATAACATCATTTGAGAAAACAAGTATTTAATAAAATGCTTTTGAGAACACAATAACAAAATATTAATCAGAAATACTGTTTGGCATTTTTTCTGAACACATGGCATCAATTTCATGGAGAACTTCTAAAAGTGTTGCATGGCTCCAAGCTTGTACAACACAACTTCCTGGACAATAAGCACCATCTTTGTTTGTTAGTTCAGGTAAGCCACGCCACTTGGATTTTTGTATTTCAATGAAGTGGCGAGACATTGTTTTCCTCACAAGAGCTACAGTTTTTGTGAATTCTTCTTTGCCTCCAACAGCTGAGGAAAATATGAGTTTTGCACGTAAGAAGTATCCAACAGGCCATAACCATTCCTGAAGAGGTAAAAAAATAAAAATATTATCACTACATAAACTATAAAATGTTTTATATTATACAAAAGAAAATTGCACATTCAACACAATTATAAAATGTGCTTTATTTACACATAAGATTGGTGCAAATGAAATTTCTCCCTGTTTTTGTTACGCTTTTGTTTCTACCAAAACGTCATTTACAGTCGCACTGTCAATTGCCTTAATCAAATTTAACAACAATTCTCAAAAGTGTTCCACTGTGTTGTGCTCTGAATTTCATAAGGATATGAATTATATTGATATTCGCGTAACCTATTTATATGAACATAAGCTTGGTAATAATGCTACAATATAAACCAGGCATTTGAGGGGAATATTGTTAAAAATCAAAAAGTGCAGAGTAGGTTTGAAAAATTTTGGTCTGGTGATTTTTTTCCCTAAGAAATGATGACCTCTGAAAAATACTCTGAAAGCAGAAAAGAATCTAAATGTATCTAAAAAGGACTTTGCTACCAGAATTAAAGCAGATCATACAAGACTATTGCAACACGTATCTGAAATTAGCAAAGTAAAAAACACGAATAATTCTACACAACAATGCTCTTATCAGATCATTCATCAACCGACTTCCATTTTTTTGTAAACATTTAGAACAGTTTTAACAGGTTACAGAATATCAAGGTGAAGAAGTCTGAAAATCTCCTTATCAGAGTTTAATGATTTTAAAGATCAGAGTACCTTAAGACAAAATCTATGCTTTAAAATCTCATTTAGTGCATTCTCAACAAGTGTATTGAAGTATATGGAGTATATTTTGATTAAATAAACAAGTTTGAAAAAAAAAAGATATGAATAAAGATGTGAATGAATTTAAACTTACAGGTCCTTGATGATAGTTCCATCCTTTGGCAGTCTTTTGATTACATGAGTCATCACTGTTGTCATAATTACCTTCATAAGCCCAATCCCTAATGAAGTATAAATTACATTCATAATTATGAAATACAATATTATCGATGACTAAAATTGTTATGATCAATAAAATTACACTTTATTTGTGTGGAAAGGCAATGATTTTTAATAATTAAAAATTATTGCCTTTGAAGAAATGAGACAGTTTCATAAATTCATGGCATAAGTATTAGTCACAAATTTTAATATAATAAGAAATGTTAACGCTCTTCGAATTAAAAACAATAATGAAGAAAACCTATACACGTTAAATAAACATAATCTTTCACTTGCCAACTGATTTAACTATTGATTTTTTTTTTATTTACTTCACATAAATAATTAAAAAATGAATGTTTCGTTAATTTTTTTTAATTTTTAAATTCTTTTCTTTCTTTTTTTGTAAAGAAAAAAAATATTGGAAGAATTGAAATCCAAGATGTTTAACTTTGATAAGACTATTATCACCCTCTAAATATAAAAGAAAAATGAATGAAAATAATTAATAATGAATGGCCTGATATCATTAAATTAATTTATTTGAATAAAACATGTGTGAACAGGTGATTATTATAAGGAAAAATGAGTTAATTCAAAGAACAGACTAATCGATACGATTCAATGAGATTTCATGTTAGAGAGATTGTGAATTGATGTGTTAGTATGCAAATCATAGTAATTGATAATGTAAAATTTAATAGTGCAAGAGACAGAAGTGGCTATACTGCACCAAATTCAAATGGCATGACACACTAAGTAACAAAATTGAGCAACATTATAAAGTGAGATAAAGATTTTTAAAAAATGGGCTTTGTCGACCAGGAACCTATAATCATCTAAAATAAATAAACCTCATAAAGGCATGAGTAAGGAGACAGAATCAGAAAATATTAAGGCAAAATGGTTGCCTGCTTTTAAAAGAGTGGCATGAAAATGGTGGTTATAAATTGATTTTGTGCAGTTGATGAACATCAGCTGGCAGGAAAAGAACTTTTAGGCAAAATTTAACTTTTCCTATCTCATTAATTTTATTGTAGATCGTTCATACCATTCCTTATCAAGGAGCTTAGAAAAAAAGAAAAAATTGAAGTAACATTTCAGTTTATCCTGAGTAAACTAACTTTAAAACATATAGAAACATTACAAAATAAACATTATTGTTTGAGAAATATTCTTTTCTCATCTTTAACAGTAATTTAGACTATTTTAGATACTTGCCAAATTCAAAAACCAAAAGTGCTTTTTCCCACAAGGATATATTCTGAAATTTACTCATTTAACGAATAGTTATTTTTTAAAATGCAATATAATTTTGGATTTTCTAGATGCAATAAATGCACATTTCTAGTATATAAGCTTTAAAATGCTTACACAGTTTTCTAGTTAAAAATTCGAGGAACATTTAAAAGCAATACTGTAAACAAAGATAAAAATTTTAATATAAAGAAAAGCCATCTTACGAGGGATCTAAAGTTTTCATGCCGAGCGGTCCGAGTAAATGCTTTTCACAATTTGTTAGTGCAGTCCATGCTTTCTCTGGAGTAAATAACTCAGGTGCCTGGAAGTATATTTGAAACAATATAAATTTTAATCTCTTTTGACATAAATAACAAATAATTAGGTAACATAAATTTTAGAATACATTAGAGTCCCGATTATACGAGTTAAAGAGGACCATGACTAACTCGAATAACCAAAAAACTCGGTTAAAGCAAAGATTATAAAAAAGGAAAGAAAAAGAGTAGGTATACACATAATACTTTTAATAAATACAAAATTTATACGAGTACCTACCAACAGGGATGAGAGTAGCCAGAAAGTAAAAAAGAAGAAATCCAACAATATATTATATATATATATATAACGTCGTTGCCGAGTGGAAGGATTAAAACAGGTCTTAGGCCGGGAAGGAGGGTACAAGATTTATTTATTAAAAAGTACAATCAATTTCTTAAAAAGTACAATATGAGATAATTATGAAAGAGTTTTAAGGAACTATTACAATTTTTTCAGAAAATATCGGTCAAAAATTATGTTTCTATATTCATCTTGATTATCATAATGTATTACAAGAGGAATTTTGGAATTCCTTTTGGAATTCTGAGCACCAAAATACTTTGCTGCTTTTCCTTGATGCAGGTCTTCATTCAGTTCAAATTAAAAGCCTTAATACTTTAAATATAGCTTTTCTTGTTTTGTCTTTCAATATGCAGAATAATTGTAAATGAGAATATTAATAGGTGGAAAAAGATGTAGCCAAATTGTGTTTCAAAACAATAAAAAAAAATTGTCTGCATTTTGGAGGCTTCCGCATTTATGCCTTGAAGTCAGTATTTTCACGGTAATACAGTACTAAAGTGTAAGAATATAATGAATACTTATAGCATAAAATATAAATCACATTATATATATATATATAATCTTTTTTTTTTATAATTCTGAAAAAATACTCCATTCAACTAAGTAAAAAATACACTAGAAATTAAGTTAATCTTACCACAGACATTGCAATAGGAAAATTTGGACGCAGTTGAAAATCAGCCCATTCTGGAAATGCATTTACTGAATCTTTGTAAATTCCTCGCTTATTTATGCATTTGGAATCTTCTGGGGTTGGGTTTAGGTCAACATAAAAATATGCTTCAAAATTCTTCTTAATTAAGTCACTCCATTCCTTAAAAGTCATGGTTATAGTTTTTCCAGGGTAAGAAGAATCAGCTATCAATTAAAAGGAATAGTAAATGAGTATTTAGAAAAGTACACAAAGACAACAATAAAAATCGAAAGAATTTTAAAAATAAGTTAAGTATTTTAGTTATATAACAGATAAGCATGAAAGCGAGAAATGAACAAAAAGTCTGAAAACACCAATCAACTCAAACTATTTTGCACAAAAGAAAACATTTATTTACATGCTTGTTTAAAATTTACTATACATGTACATTGACTGACAGACCAACTGGTAAGCTTTATATATAAATTATAAAATAGAATAAAATGAAAATAAAGTTTAAAAAATAATAATAATGTAGAAATATTAAGAAAAAATAGACATTTAGCATAACATTTTCTTTTACTATTTTCTATTTTTTGAAGCTTAGAAAATCATCTGCAGTCTCTGTTGTTTATGATGGGTCATAGATGATGGCCATTTCATCTTTTATTGCTTTCCTAGCTACAGCTGTTTCCCTTCTCTGTGTGTTTGTTCTCTTCATGCATCTTTGTGCTAACTGCTGTAATTGTCTTTTAAACTTGCCATCAGCAATTAAAAAAAAAGTTTAAAGAGTAAGAAATTCTGCCATAAGTCAGAAGAATCTCATGCCTGAATAGGGAAAACATTTCTCTTTCGAAATTATGATTACTGTACTTTGCACTAAAATTTAATCTAAAAATTATCCCTGCGACAATTGTGCTAAAAATTAATTGCTTCAAAATGATAACGCCAAAATCATTTCAATTTTACCATTTCTGTTGCACTTAATGAAATAGTGTACTCAGTTAATATTCTAAAATTTAAATACTTTTCTTAACTGTGACACATACTTCTCTTTTAATACCTTCAGCATACTTTCAGCACAACAGCATTTCTTTAAAACTTTAACTTTCAAACTACTAGGGCAAAATTGTTGAAACTTTTTTTAATGATTAGAACGTTGATGAGACTTGTTTGCTTTGCACTAAAGCTTACTCCCTCCCAAATGAGTTTCATTAGTTAAAGTGATAACACTAAAGTTCAATTCACTATGTATGGTATATAGTTTAAATTTAAATGTTCTAATGTTATGGTTTAACACCCAGACAGATATTACTTATTTTGAACAATTTCTTTTCATTCTCATATCATTCACTGTTTATTTTGATGCATTCAAACCGTAGGTCAATGTTACATGGATTACTGATAAGTCCTGTGGCAGAATTTTTACGGGCTTTCTGCAAAAAAACTCTCTAGCACCAATATCTTTCTGATAGATACTTTCAATAATTACAAATATGTATATTACTAATGTAAAGTAATAAAAACACTGTGTATACATAATTATTTTCATTGAATATGTAATATTTCTTTATTCTAATAATATGGGCGATATTCTTGCACTTAGTTGGAAAGAAAAACGCACTTATTATTTCCTTTATCGCATTTTGTAAATCATTATCACATTAAAAAAAAAAAAGAATTAAAAGTATTGAAATCCTTAGCTGTAAATACCAAAAAAACAGATAGACCACGAACTCATGCAAATTAGACTCTTCAAAAAGGGGTTGCTCCAATGCTCGTTCGTTTCAAGTTTTGATTGTTCTAATAAATAATATCGGATTTCAAAAACTATATGGAAGCAAAAGCAATAATTGCAAACAAAAGAATACAATCATTGCCTTAAAAAGTAAGTACTCGAATGCATGATCAGAGTTTCCACTCAAATCTGGAAAAAAAATTCCCTGTGTTTTCCCTGTACATATTATGCACAATATATTAAGAGAAAACAATTACTGGACTCTTGTGCAAGTTATTGTTGGGCTAACTATATTTATTAGTTTTAATTGCTGGAAAAACAGCTGAACATACTTAAATAATGCTATAGTAAATNATAATAATTCTATTTTTTTTAATGTTTTTTTTAACACAGTTAAATATTTATCAAAGTTTTACAAGACGTGTAATTATTTGTAAATAGTAGTAAAAATATATAATTTTTTTTATAAAAAAAACCTAAAAATGTTGTTTTCTCTTATTCCAATTTTTAAGCATTTTAGAAATTTCGAAAAGTTCCAGGCGGCTTAATTTTTATTCAAATCGTTAAAAAATTTTTGTGCATGCTAAATATGTATGTATGATTAATATGTACTATCAAAATAAATAATGCTGCCGTAATTAGAGCAAGTATATTCAAGAATGTTGTTTATGACTACATAAATTTTCAATTTTTTTGGTATTTTTACATTATTTTTTTTTCTTTAATAAAAGCATTTGATTAGTGAAATTGGTGCATAGTACATTTTGTTACAACGTCTTTAAGCAACTTCAAAAAAAAAAAATTTGAACACAATATCTCAAAAATTAAGCCGCCTGGAGCATTTTTAAAAATTATTATTTTAAAATTTAAAATTTTGACAATTGCTCAACAAAATTTTATATGGTATCTTGTATTGCCTATATCCATTAGCTGACCAATTTTCAGATTGATTGAGTGAAAAATAAAAAATAAAAATTTGATCCTCCCTTGTCGCCAGAGAGTACTGGTTTAAAAATAAATATTTTGAATCAGTGTGTAAATATTCTACATTACACAAGTTAATAACATAAAATTCCAGAAATGTAGAGCTAAAATTCCATATATTTACACATAAAAGATATATACTACTTTGAATGTCATTAATATAAAATTACTAATAGGAAATTGGTTTTTATCTTTATAACTTTGGCAATAATTTTTACTTACGAACAGAAGTCCGTTCAACTTTGCAGTAAGGGTAATGTCCAGCTTCATACATTGACCATAACCACCTTAAAGCTGACTTGCTAAGTCCAACAATCTCAACTGCTGATCCATTTCTGAAAAATTAAAATTGACTTTTTTAAACAATTTTCAGTAAGCTAAAACACATATTGTGTTTATTATTAAAATTCTATGGTAACTTTAACTTTTATTATAATAGTAGTTATACATTAAAATTAAATTTTTGATAAATATATGATTACATATTTGAATATCATGTATTTGTAAATATTAACAAACAAAAAAGTTTTACTAAGTCCTAATCTAAACACAAGTTATAACTTTCAGTTAGGTTAAGTTATATTTGAGAAAAATAATAAATAACAACTGCTCTGAATTATATTGAAAATCAAAAATTTTTTAAGTAATTTGAATTACCTAGTTTATTGCTAAGCCTTTATAGAGCATTTAGAAGTAACTTGAGACATTATAGCTATAAACTTTATCATAGCCTTGTGTAACTAAATATAATTACTTTATAACAATAATTAAAATAAAAAGTAATATTCAAAGAACTATGTATATAACTACAAAGTAAAAAAAAAAAAAGAATTTTCTTATAACTAACAAAGTATTTAAGTTCAAACAACTGAAAGAAATTGAAATAAAATCTTTAATAGTTTACTCTCCTTTATTCTAATGTTCATAATTAAAAATTTTTGCATTCAAATTAATTTTATAATTTATTTATCAAAAAATGTGGCAACCCTTTAACATTTAATATTAAGAACAAATGAATACACTCAATTTGTGCAGTACTTTAACTGTCTAAAAGACTAATAAAATAGTTTTGTTATCCATAAAAGAAACAATTAAACCAAAAAACTAATTTTTTTCCATGAAATCTATTAGAGAAGAACTGTTTTTGGATTCATCTATTTAAAAACACTTCCTCTCAAAAGTATATTTAAAATAATGAATATAATTGAATATAGAACAAAAATTGAAAGAGTTTTATTATCAGTTGAATCACAGCATCATAAATTGGTTCCATGCTTAAACTAATACAATAAAACGCCACCAGTTCCGTCAGGTATGTCTATACGATCACAGAAAAAAATTTAATAATTGGGCAAACTTAAAAGATTGTTTGTGGCTATGCTTTTAAAGCTTTTTTTCTGCATAGAACTGGCAATTATAGTTGTTCTCTGGTTTACAAGATTTTGATGTTTTTCTTGACAAAACCAACTAAGCCCACTTTTAAAAGTATTATCGATGAACGCCAAGTCAATTTTTTGATTTTATTGAATTATTAAAATTTTAAATTCAGAATTTTAATACATTTTCCTTCGATGCTAACAAATTTTCTCTTTGGATAATATTTATCTTTTTGAGAGAATGAGAAAAAATGCATGTTCTGTGATTGATCTGGTCTCTTCCCACTTGAAATGGTCCTTTTAGGAATTTGATTGCTAGTGTGACACCAGTTAAAAGTCTTTCATTCACCAATTAAGAGCATTCAACCATAAAACCTATTTGAAATTATTAGAATTTTTCTTGTTTTATGAATTCAAATTGTTGGGAAAAAAATTATGTAGGCCCAAGCAATAAATAACATGACAAAAAGAACAAACCTTGGAGTTGCAGGTTTGCCTTTGTTTCCAGCCTTTTCTGAACTACCCATTTTATCCATCCAAGTACCACAGTTTGAGCTATTACCCCCATATACAAATCCAGTATTCAAATCTACTCCTATTTCATTGTTAAAACCTGTAAAGATATACTTTATTAAAAAGTCAGAGAATTAAAGAATAACATATCAAAACTTAGGAAAAAATTAAATAAGATAAATTTGCAAATTTCTTTATTTTAGAATAGATATAATAACTCAAAAGTAATTACAGTTTTTTAGTAATAACACTCAAATTACAATTTTTGCTTACATTATAAATCTTAAATATTTTATAATCAACATAAAGAAAATTATTGAAAGTTTCAAACAATTAAAAAGTTATTTTACAATAGTTTTGAGGTGATATTTAATTATTTATATCAGTAATGAATTTCAAAATGAAATAAATAAACAGAAAAAATTATTAAATACATTTTGAAGCATTTCTTAGTGCTAAGTATTACTTACAAGAAAGTGTCTCCACAAATATAACATTAAATCCTTACATCAAAACTTTAACAGATTTTGAAAAGCTGAATTTGAGTATGGTAATTTTGAGGCTAATAGAATAGTTCTTAGCATATTCGTCTCCATAAAAACTTCTTATGCTGCGTATAACAGAAAGAAAACTGTTGTAACAATGGTAATGCTTTTGTAGTGCAGTGGCAAAGCCCAAGTACTTTTTGTACATGTGAGGCAACTGGTTCAAAACTGTTAGTCAATATAATTTAATTTTTGTACTTTTTTTCTTATCTAAGATTTTGAAATTATTGCAATTTTGCTGTATTTTGAATACAACTTACTTTTTTTTTTAAAATGACCAGCATGGTCATTTAAAAAAATACCAAGTAATATTAATGATGACACATTAAGAGTAATTTGTGCTAATGAACAGAATTAATAAATTACAAAACAAAACAGCTGCTACAACATAAGTAACAAAAACAGTTTGTGAAAACATAAGTAAGAAATAGTGATTTGGGGATAAAATAAAATTTTGAAAATGATCTGGATGATCCTCATCTTATGCAAATTTCTCAAAAACAGATCTGGTTAGTTATGTTGAATGAAGTTATGTATGTTATGAAGTCTGGTTAGTTATGTATGTTAATGGAATGAAGTAGTTTGACTCTTTTTCATAGATTTAAAGTAGCATTAATTTTATTTTCAAAAGGAAACACACGTACACCAACGTGTTTTGAATATAGTACTTCTAATTTGATCCTTAATAACTCTAATTTTCAACCTTCCTTAAACTGCCTGCTTCCCTGCCCATTTCCAGTTAACTCAATTTATTCAGAGAGTCGTTAAAACTTGATCAAAAGAACTAACCTAATACCATTTTAACCTATAACCTCTTGATCAAAAGAAAGGATTGTTTTTCCATTGCACCACCAAATCACCATGGTTGTTGTAATATTTTTTGATTAAGAACTGTATAAGTTTTTGAGAAACATCCTACAAACCATTCAAGAGGCTTAAAACTATATAGGATATTGTAATTCAGAGCCTCAAAATCTGTAAAAATGGCTTGATGATTTTTTTTAAACTTAATAATTATTTTTAATAAAAAGTAAGTATAAAAAATTTCTAACCTTCATCAGACATTTGTTCGTCTAATCTATATCCAGCATTTCTCTCACGAAATTTCAAACCTTGAAAGTGAGTCTGTAATGCTTCTTGAATAACATCATGAAGGGGTTGATCCTAAGAATCATTTTTAAATGGTTATGCATATAAAAATAAATATTGTTCGTTCACTAATCTTAACAGCATACTTAGAAAACAACGCAAGCACTCATTTTATATTATATTTATACTATCTAAGTGCCAGCTCCCAGGGTTGGCAAAAATTCAAATTTCTTTTATATTAAAATCGCTTTTTTTTCTTATTTAATTAAGATATTTTAAATTTTTTATATACATCAATCAAAACTCTGATTTAATATAATTATTTTCAAAGTAATTGTCAACTATTATATAACAAATAATGAAACATATAAATATATAATTTTCTGGACTTACAAATTTTCCAGGCGGTTGTGGAGGAGAATCATCTTTAGGAAATATCCTGGATACCTTGTCTTTCAATATCTTATGGCCATCAGGAACAATATTGACATACTCTTGAATTGATTGCAACCACCACCATACAGAGTCTCGGCAGTTGAAACGAGCACACTCTCCCCGATCTAGAAGATTTGGAATGAGACCATGCCTCAAGCACCCACCAAATGCTAGAATTATGTACCTGAAATTTTGCTTTTGTCATTATTTTAAATTCAAATAATACTATGAAAAAGAAAATAGTTTTGAAAGCTTTAAAACAGTATTTTTTAATTTACTTTTTAAATTTGTTTATCAATCCAAAAATGAAAATATGGGGACCGACAAACATAAATAAAAAGGAAAATTATGTTTGTTTACATATAAGGGCATTTCCTTGATAATGGACAACATAACAAAAATAAAAATTCAATAGCATTTCTTCTTTAACAAATTTTTTAGTTTTTAATTAATCATTTCAAATATAAAAGTAAAAATTTTAGTTAAGTACTTTGTAAAAATAAAAAAATATACTTATTCAAATTTTAATATAGTTTGTATTTGTAATATCAGTCAAATAGAAATTATAATATTTGTTACAGAAGTTGCGCTGGAGCTTTGGCATAGAGCTTAAAGATTTAAAGTGGAGCTTGGTGCTTAAAGATTTAAAGAAACATCAGAACTTTCAAATTGTTCTATAAATGAAACATTCAAATTATAATGCTTCTATAAAACAACCACAATTAGCAGAATAAAATAACATGAGTGAACAATTAGATAATTTTCCAATTACTAAGTTTACAAAAATTAAGGAATATTTAAGAAAAAAATATTACATTATTCAATGCATTTAAAAATAATTAAAAATGGCAAAAATGCTTGAAAAATGAATTTTGATCTGAATTTCAATAACAATACATTTATTTGTTCTATAACATAAGTATTGGCAAGAAACTCAAAAATCTAAAAGAAATTAATAAAATCATAATTACAAATTTTTGTAATTATGATTTTATTAAAAGAAGGTTTAATTATTTTGATACTGGATTGATTCTATCCATGCAGATTTTTTCTTAAAAAACAGCTTTCTTTAAAAAAAATTAAATTCAGTGGTTTCATTAGTTAGTTGTCATGGTATTTAAGACATCATGTCTTACCTAGCATCTTCATATCTGCCTGTTAGAAGTAGAAGTCCCCTTAGAGAAATAAATGTATCTCTGCCCCAGTTGCGCATATAGCCTATAGAAAAATGTGGCAAACCTAAAAACAAAATATTACTTCATTTATTTCATTTATTAAGTTTAAAATTGGCCACAAAATATAAGAAGCAAAAGTTCAGTTGTAAAAATAAAATATACCTGCAGATATAGTGGCACAATTTTGAATAATTTTTCCTGAGACGTCTTTTTCTTCAGGGGGAGGATTTTCAAGGAATGGAGAGAGGAGTGGCAGAGGTGCACTTCTTACAATTCCACAGAGGATAACTGAGCCCAAAGAAAGAGCTTTAACAAATGTTGAACCATCAGATACAAACCTGAAATAGTAGGAATATTTTATAATAAAGTATAACCAGACCCCTGTGACAGAATTTTTTCGAATTATCTGTGACAAAACTCTGAAGAACTAATATCTTTCTGCAAGATACTTTTAATAATAACAGACATATATAAGTTATTAATTTAAAATTACAAAAACGAAGTTTACAAAGAAAAAAAAAGCTTTAATATATTTTTTTAATTAAACATGTAATATTTTTTTTCTTCTTATATTATGGGTGATATTCTTGCATTTTTGGGGAGGAGGGGAGGGAACGCACATATTATTTCCTTCTTCGCATTTTGTAAATGAACGCCCCAATAAAAAAAAATAATTAAAATTCATGAAATCCGAAGTAGTAACTGCCGAAAAAAAGATCGACGACGAATTCACGCAAATCGGACTCCTCAAATGCGTGTTTCATTTCGAAATTGGGTTGTTGTAATAAATAATATCGTATTTCAAAAAACTATGGAGAAATCAATAGCAATAAACTCCAAAAATTTGATAGAACTATTGCCTTAAAATGTAAATACTCAAATGCATGATTCGAATTTTCCATATCGTTTGAAATATATAGAGATATTTAAAAACCACGTGAAAATCAATATCAATAACTGCCGAAAATACATTACAAACAGGACACCGATTTACAATAATATCGGCGTAAATTGAGAGCGTCAAAAAGTGGTTATCTTAATGCATGATTCAAATATTACGTGCAAATTTCTACAGAAAATAAAAGTAAAGTTGTTTGCCTTTTTCAAAAGAAAAATCTTTCCGCAAAAACTCTGTAATGTTCTGTGACAATGTCGCTGTGTCGCTGCTATTCTGCCACAGGGAACCAGACATTTAAATAGTAGATCTCATGGTCAAGAGAAAAAAAAACTTATCATCACACAAGTTGACATCAAGTTAAATGGAAATAGATTGCCCCATTATATGGCAAATGTGATGTAAAGGAATTTTTCCAATTCGGTACAAATGGACACACGATTATGAATAAATGAATCTCAATTAGATTACATAATTTCTTGAAGTAACAAAACAAAGCCGCAAAAAGTAAAAACAATAATAAATATGGGCAAGTATTACAGTGAAAACATCAGTGCTGCTCATCTGACATAAAATGGAATAACCTGATTCCATAATCATACTAAGAAATAGACAGGAAATATTGATTCCACTTTAATTCATTTTATTACTATATTATTATATTATAAACAGATCTTAAAAAAGTGAAGCGATTAATTTTTTTAATTTACATTTCATTTGGTATGAAAAAGAATAAGGCATGAAAAAATTAAGGTATATGGGAAATAAAAGGTTAAAATGTTTCTGTGATTATAATTAAAAACATATAATTATTTAATGAAACAAAATTTTAAAATCACTAAAATTGTTTCAAAAATTCTTGAAATGGTAAATTGTGCAAACAAAAACTTTCAAGAGACTTTGAAAACAGTTAAATAAATTCAAGTTGTATACCAGTAAAAAAAAATTTTATTCCTTTAAATAAAGCTTCAAATAAAGTTTATTCTAAGTTAAGTGATATATTAATGATGAAGATCATTAAAATATCACTAAACTTGCCATTAACGTAGCTTATTAATTACAATGTGCAACTTAGATCTTAATATGAACGATTTGCTATTTCATAAATAATTACAGAAGAGCACAGAAGATAAAAAGTTTCTTTACCAATCAATATAGTTTATACATAAGAGGGTGAATTATATGGATTTATGTATAACTTCATCATTTAGATAAAATAAAGATATACTCATAAAACTTAATAGACTATTAATACAATTTTAATTAGCCTAATCAACTATATTTGCACATTATATAAATCTCCAATACTTTACTACAAGTAGAAAAAAGACATACTCTGACATTTTTCGCCAAAGTGAAGCAATTAGACTACTGTAAGCTCCTGTGATAATTGTATCAAAGTAGCAAGGAATGAGGTAACGTGGTAGCTTACGCAAACTGTCGAATGCAACTTGAAACCACTTTCCAAGCTATGAAGTAATAAAAAAACAATATTTTTATAGAAGTTACTTCAATATAATTAGCAAATAAAAAAAATTTAAACAGATGAATAATAATTTTTCCAATTATAGAAACACATATAGCACAATATAAAAGCTTATTGTTTGTTTTTATAAGAAAACTTTTTTCTCAACTGTTTGTTTCATGATTAAATTTTTTCAGTTTTTGGAACAAAAATACTTTATAAATGCTAAAAACAGTTTTGCAAGTTAAACAAGTATAGTTTTGAGTTTTATTTAAAATGGTAAACGCATTCAACATGCATAGGTAAGAAAAAAATGATAAAATTATCTTAATATCTCTAAATTGTTCTTTTTTTAAAAAAAAAAAAAAAAAATTCTTGAAAACAGTAAAAAAAATAAGTTTTGATTTATTACTTAATAGAAAATAAATGGTTAAAAGATAACTTTACACTTTTTGAAGCAACAAATTCATCAAATAAATTAACAATTAATAAAGATTTTTTTTTCCTTAACGGTGCACATTTTAAATAAAATACTTAAGATCAGGCGGTTTCTACAGAGGTTTTTAGGACGAGCCAACCTGTTTGATATTTGAGAAAAATTGCCATCCTGCATTCTCTTTGAATTTGATTTATTAAAAAAAAGTAGTCTATTTATTTGAGACGATTCACTTTCTTTTTTTTTCTTCCTGTAAATCCATATAGTTTTCCAATGGCTTTTTGGGCAGTAATTAATCGTTTCACGGCCATAATTAATAGTCTTTTTGTCTATTTCCCCATGTTTTTTTCAAAATCTGATATATTTAATACGTTGTTATGACAAGCACATTTGAACTTGAGCAATCACTTTTTTTAGGCATTTGATTCATAATGATTCCATAGTAATTTCATGACGTTTGATCATAGTTTATTTGCTTTAAATCCATATTAATTTCTGTTTGCTTTTTCAGCAGTTATTATAATTACTTAACTTTTTTTATTCATTTCGACATTTTCTAAAATCTTGATATGTTTAGTATGTTATTGTTATGACAAACATTTTCAAAATTCTAGGATAATGCTCATTTTAAAACCACTTTAATAAAATGTATGAATTTAACTGAGGAATTACTTTTAATTAAACTAAAATAAAAATAAGATTTTTCAAAAAAAATAAGAAATAATATTTTTGAAAATAAGATTTTTTTAATAGTAAAATTAGAAAATTTATTTTTTTGGGAGTATCTTAAAAGTTATGCAAATATTTGCAAATAGCAATGTCCTTTTTTTGTGATGAGTTCCTTTCCCTAGGGAGAAATAGTGCCATTTTCAGTTTCTTGCACCTTGACCTTTTTTAAGGTCTTTTTTAGTATGAACCCTGCTTTAGATCTTTAACAAACAATAACTTTCAGATGCATCTATACATTAAAGATTGGATTCTAATAACCATCATATAGTTTTCGTATTTCTATTATGACTCTTGAGATAAATTGTTTATTTTTCTAACCTAAAAATAACAATTCAAATTTTATATATGTTTTGATAAAAAGAAGCAAAAAAATTCTAATAACGTTTTCACAACCATATACATATTCTCTTGGATAAATGAAAAAATGTCTTACATTTTCAGTAGAGGGATGATCAATTAATCGAGCTACAATATATTCTGGCAGCCAATTTCCTTGGCGTAGGTTATCACACAGAGGATGGCCAAGATCATCCTCTAAATGAATATTCATAAGTTCACTCATAACACCTAAAAATAAAAGATTTAACATCAGTTACAGTTATAAATTTCAAACAGTAGAGCCTTTATCAATTGTTTCTCATGGGACCAATCATTGCGAATGATAGTTACAGGAAAACTGGGAATGTGGGTCAACATAAAATATTAAATACTGACTTGTAACTATATAAAAACAAATACTAAAGAATTAATAGACCTGAAATTTAATAAGTTTACAGCAATTAAGAAAATTTTAATTAAAAAAATTGTATGCTTATAATGCAAAAGAAGGAGAATAAATGAAATTCTTAATTTGAAAAATTGAAACTTTTGATTTGAATACATTTATTTTTTCCCAAAGCAAAAAAAAAAAAAAAAAAAAAAAAAAAAAAAAAAAAAAATTATTCTTGTTCATTTTCTGTACGTTGGTGCAAATACATAAAGTTCCTCTTTGTTTCAAAGACTTCAATGAAAAAATTTGGGTTTTTAGGTACTTCAAACTCAAATTAATTTACCTTTAAACACCTTTAAGCACTTTTTAAAAATGCTACGCACCCTGAATAAGAAAAGCTGGAATACTGAAATGCAAGATATGTATTTTTTACAAGTACAAAATAGAACATAGCAAGGAAAATACATACAAAATAATAAATAAATACCATAATAGTATAAAGAATTACCTTGAAGGCCACAATAAACTAAATCTCCATAGCCTGGTAGATTATAGGCATTCCTTCCTTTTCCTTCATCCCTTTCTTCTGCATCACAGCGAAAGAGAATTCTATTCAGATCAGATAAAGTGAGGTGTGATAAAATAGATTCAAAATCTTGAGTCCCACGTTTCAATATGTTTCCACTATAAGTTCTCATTCTATATCCGAATTGTGAAGCACAAGATCTGATTTTTAAAATGGCTGCTCTAGATTCACTATCAAGTGAGACCCTATAAGACAAGAGTAAAGATTAGAAAATCAAAAATGTTTATAAATTTGCTCGCTAATTGATGACTATTTTTGTATTTATCTTCAAAATTGAAAAAATGAATTTAATTCTTTAATAACAAACTGTACACAACCAGCATCCTAAGAGACAAATGTGACACTCATAAAATCAATATGAAAACCCCTCATCCGACAGGACAAAATTGGAAAAACCAACATTTTGTGCAAAAAAGTATATAAATGTTTTTCGAATTAATTTCAATAAACTTTAACGGAATCATGGTGGCTCAGGAGATAGAGCCTCCCAATGAGGTGGCCTGGGTTCGAATCCCAGTGATGCCTGATCAATAGGAATTTTGCATCTGACTCACATCGATCGCAGTGCTTACGTAAAATATCTCCAGTGGTAGACAGATCATGGGTTAGAAACTAGAGTCCCCTTGCCATCAGGCTAACTGTGGAAGGTTTCTGTACTTGATCCAGGAATTCCATTGTCTTTGGTATTGGATAAAAAATTACAAAGCTATGGAGTTGAACATTGGTAATCCTAAACTCAAAATTGAGTCTCCTTTTCAAAGAGGGTAAAAAGATAAAATAAACTTTAAGGAAAAAAGATATGATTCAAAAATAGAAGGTACAAATTCAGAGGGGGGGATTTAAATCCTTCACCTTTTTTATTTTTTTCTTAAAAAATATGTCTATTTAATTAAAATATGGTCAAAACAAATGTTGATAACACTTATTTAAGAATTAAAGATTTATACCTTGTACATGCAGTAAAAGGAATACATACATAGTACATAATTTTTCAACAGAATGCTAAAAAACTTCGTATAATTTAATCTTTCTTGCTAAACTTATGTTTTTTAATTTCAAATGTTGCATACATATTTAGTTAAAATGTTATAAAAAAATTTATGGTACTTAAAGGTTCTTTTAAAAGAAATGAATATTGTTCTCAGGAAACTAAAAAATAATGAAGTTATTGTCAATTGATATAAGAAGTGAATTCATTTCAGCCTCCTAGGAACTAAATTTATTTTTTCTGCAGCCCTCTTTAAAAAAGAATTGCATGCCTTATTGTAATTAACGATTATATCATGAAAAGAAAATAATAACTAGGCAAGTTACCTAAAGACAATAACTGAGCCTGGAGGAAAATGTATAAAATCAACCTCGTGGTATCCATCCTCAGTTGCACCAGCACTTTCGACCATTTCACTCTCATATATTGGAATATTTTCTTTTAATTTCAATTCAAAATCAGTCAGACCATTGATGAAAACGTCATCCTTCTTGAAGTTAGGTCCAATACTTACTCCTGAATGATTGACAGGAACAAGCGAACCTTCTAAGATTATTTCTTCAATCACACCTAAAAAAGAAATTTTTTTATAAATTGGAAAGAAAATGACTTGAAACGGAATTCCAATATAAACATTACAATATATAATTAATTTTAACCTTGTACTCTTAAAGGACGAGCATACGTAGATTCAGTTGGCTTTGAGGGCATGCTAAAGGCAGTTCGAGCAACCATTATCACAGACTGATGAGTAGCAGGGCAATGTCTGGTAATTGCAACAGTGTGTTCGTCACGTTGATCAACAAATACCTATTTATAAAATATGTCATAAAAATATTAAAATACAAAGAACTCGAAATAAATATAAGGTAAAAATATTATTTTCTAAGATCTGAAAAGTTTGAACTTTCTCCAAATCAAATTTATAATTTATAGAATAATTTTTAACATTAATACGTTATAGATTAATCACATTTTATCATAAATCATGATAAAAACAATTTTAAATACTATAATAAAGTTGAATAGAAAATCAAAAAAAACATTTTCATATAAATGCAAATTAACAAAACAAATTTTCAATGTTGAACAAAATATTGAAGAAAAGTTTGGTTAAATATTAAAATTAAACACAACGTAAAATATTTTAAAATAAATAACTAGTTTTATAATACAGTAAAACTATTGTTGAAAATTTTTAACTGATCAGTTTTTGCAATAGTTTACTGTAATATCTATTGAAATAGAAATGTTTTAAGCCAATGTATGATTATTACAATCAAAATAGTTGTTGTAAAATTAGAGGATAACAATTTTTATAGGTTTTCAGATTATTTTTTTATAATATATCAAATAATAGACTTTGAAATGCATGCATACTATTTTTATGACTACTTATTTCTTAACTCATATTTCTAATAGCATAATACATAATTGGCATTTAATACTTCAAATTTGAATACAAAATTAGAAGTACAATTCTTATTTATTATGTATTTGTGGGGATGTATTTATCGACAATGTTAACAATCATCTATGAAAAGGTACCCCACTATAGAATCGAGTTAACATGTCTTATATACTAGTGAATTGGAATTATATTTTTGTAGTGGTAGATACACTACAATACTCCCCCACAAGAATTATAGCTGTGATAGAATTCGATGAACAGATACCTCTAGTTGATTCATTGCTGTTTTGTGAGAAGATGGGAGAGCTGTATTAAGTTCAAAGTCGTGGTTGCTCCTGTGTTGCCATTAGCAGTCGAGTGAATACGTTGTACGTTATGTGTGATCGAAACTGAGTAGCAACAGCACGAGGAGGTGGAAAATGTCGCAGTCACAAGTAGCAAGTCAACTGTTCAATGTGGATCATTCATTGAAGTAGGGGTGTTCAGATCAAAGTGGGCATTACTGTCAAGGTAGGCGTGTTCATATTGAAGTGAGTGTTTCTGAAAAGATAGGCGTGTCACAGCACGTCCGGGTCACCAATGTGAGGAGAGCTGTTATCGACCATGTCAACCTTCATCTATGAAAAGGTACCCCAACATAAAATCGACTTAACAAGTCTTATATACTAGTGAATTGGAATTTAGATACACTACATATTCTTATAATTTAATATTTTGAAGTCACAAAGGTGTTAGGTACTAAGCCAAGATTATAATATACGCCTAACAATAGACAGTCAAGTTTGATTTTATATCCGAACAGTTATAATAGTTTTAGTGGCAGTCATTTGAAAGTTAATGTTCTTGGGGGAAAAAAACAGAACACAAATGAGTTCTGGTGAATATATTTATATTAGAAAGAAATTAAAGTTAATACCTGTGAAAATCCAGAAGATCCCAGTTCTGAATGTAACTTGTTAAGAGCTCTTTTACCAGCAAGGATACCACTTTTGGCATTAATAAAGCCTCGTTTAGGTTCAGGATCATCAGTCCAAGAAGTGAACAGTCTGGTCTCTGAAACTACATGTATCTAATATAAAAAAGAGAAAAGAAATTCTAGCTACAAGAATATATCAGGAAAAAAAAACAATTTTGCAAAAAAAGTATTTGGTATCATACTTCTAAAAATATTTCTTTCAATTCCTAAAGATCAATATTAAAAAAATAATTTTTTTTTTTTTTAAATGATGCTCTTCATTTTCCAGACATTTAGTTAAAGCTATAAGCCATATTAATTAAAACCATAATGTGATAATTATTTTTAAGTTTTAAGTTTTTTTTATTTTCATTTATTTATTTATTTGTACAATATTAAACTATAATTTCTACGAGCTATATGTATACATGTTTAATTTTACATTTAAATCAGCTTGATTTATACATTCAGTACTTTCAGAGGAATACAATTGTGTATTTATTTCAAACCATTATGGTAATTTAAACAGGAACCAGCTTACTAATTTTGACAGCCCTATCAGGAAATAAATATATAAAAAATAAAGTGCATTGACATAAAATGCAATGTTTTTTCATACATAGTGATTTAAAGTGTTATTTTAAAAGAAAATTGAAAAAAATAAGTTTCTACAAGATTTTAAAAATGAAACATAATAGTCTAAATAATATTGCAAATAAATCCTACACTTTAACTTTTGGTGACTTACTGTTAATAAAAAATCAATATTTGCTTTATTGTACACAGTTTACTTAAGATAATACTTAATAACCATGAGCATTCTAAAACAAAAAAAATTTAAAAATCAACTGGAAATGGAACCTAAATGTTAATGCTGTGTTGATATGCCCTTTAATAATATTTCTAATTAAAAAATATATATATCCTTTAACTTTCCAATATTAGTGAAGCTACCTTCTATTTCCTTCCCCAACTGCTTAAACTTCTATTTTCCTGTAAAATTGTTTAAAAGTTATGTTTATTGCCTGCCAATTTTATAAGAACTAAAATATGCTTACATGATGAGGAACTAATTCATCATATCCCCAACTACTTCCAGTGGAACAACAAGCCATAGCCACCATTGAAGCAGTAGGAAAATAATCATAAACTGATCGCGTCTGAAAACAAAATAAATTTTAAATATAGATGCAATATAATTTAATTATAGTTTACAACAAAAAACATTAAATTTATCGTTACATTTTATAAAAACTATAATCATATTTACACAGTGGAATAATAAGATTAAAATATAATCTAAACTATCTTAAACAAGATATTTAATGCAATATTTTTTTTAAAGTTTAAATAATTATTTTTACATCTTTAGAATACCATTGTTTGGAAGAAAAATGGCAGATTTATTAAAAACACAACATTTACAGTAACTAAAACCTAGCAGAGTCAAACGTGCCTATTGTGAACTTCCTTAATCAAAAAATTTCTTAGCTCTCTAAAATTTTGTAAATAAAATCATGGGCAATTTGAATTTTAAATTGAATAATTCAAATTCTATCAAGCCTAAAATTTTATTTCAGTTGACACCAACTTTATAATCATAATTTTTATTAAAAGCCAGGTGTTTCTACAACAGCCTATTGTGAGTCAGGGCGTCACGAAGGTTAGGGCTCCATGATTTCTTAACAAACAGCTATGATGGCGGTCAACACTCCATGCCGAATATCCTTACTTCCCAGACAAGCTAGTACACATCAATCTTGAAGCTTTGTAGGCTTTAAGCCACCACCAGGTATCAAAGCAGAGTTCTTAACAATGATAGTTCAGTGCCTTAGCCACTAAGCCATTGCTGATTTACAATTTATACTAAAAATCTTAATTTATTCATATTTTATTATTAGACAAAGTTTCTCACTAATTTTTGCATTACTTCTGTAGAAAAAATATTAGATTGTTAAAAGAGCAATAAGAAAATACAGGTTTATTCATGCAATGCATACTAGTTACAATTTAAATCTGAACACTTCATTCTTTTTTTATTAACCCAAGCATTGAGCCCTAGGGTAAAATAAAACAGAAATTTTTATGCATCGCACTATTTCCCTAAATCAATTACATGGAGAGTATAGGATTTTTTATTTTTTTTTTTTGCTGCAGGAAAGAATCTGAAACTTCGGACAAAGCCGGCACTAATACTCAGAGAGATAAACAATCAAGTGCTTGCATTTGTGCAAGTTAATACAGAAATTTCTCCTTAAAACACATCTTTCTCATTAAATAACAAAGGGAAAGCAGTTAAATTGACAAGTGAAAAAACAAGAAATGCAAACACTCAGTCGGTTATAATAAAGTAATTTGAAAATCAACCTATGTTTTTAGATTATAATATTTATCAATTCTAATAATATGTTATAAGAGACTATTATCAAAGAGACAATTTTACCAAAATAATATTAAAGACGCATACTGTACATTTAATTAATATCTCTATACACAGCAGTATTCCTTAAAAATCAGCTCAGAAATCAAAAATTGTTTTAAAATCAATATTTAAGAACGTTTAATTTTAAAATATCTATTTTATTATTCAAGTATAAAATACTATATAAGAAAATTTTAGAGGAAGGATTATAACATATTGTTAAATCATAAGTTAAACAATTTAGAAGGGCAATATTTATTTTGCTGAACATGCTCTTTAAAGTAATATGCTTATAAAAAAACCATTCATGTTTCATTAAAAAAAAAGATTGTGCAAAATAGATTTAAATAGTGAAACAATTTACTTGCATGGGACACATATTGTCATGAGTAATGTCCATGAAAACAGCATGAGCAATTGATTTTGTGAGTGGACGAGTAACAGGATGCATGAAAGCTCCGACACTAGACCCACCGTATCTATATACAAGTCTTCCTTGTTCATGGCTGTCAGGAGCCTGCATGGCCTCTAAATTAAACAATAAATAAATGTTTAGTTTCAGTTAGTTTTCTAAATAAATGTTTAGTTTTTTCTTCTTCTTAAGGATGAATTTATTTTTACACTATTTTAATACATTCTAAAAAATAATAGTTTTACTCCTGCTTTTCTGACTATTGGCATTTTCAAAAAAAATCCTGACAAAGCCTCTTTATTAACATACAATAATAGAAATTCAGCAATGAATAAAATGTTTAAAATCGATTTTTTGAGCTTCGCCATTTTAGTACTTTATGTTAATTTTTTAGATTAGAATAAAGCAGAACCTAGAGGGTGTGTTACAAAATGAATAAACCAATAGGTCAAATAGGGTTACTTTCTCTGAAGACAAATCTGCAATAAAAATAGGAGTCCATACTTAAAATTTTAAAGTTCCCCCCTCCCTTTGCCTCCAGAGATGGAGTGGAAGACCAAGTTTAATACCATTAAGAATGCTTTAAAAAAAGTGTATGAGTCTTTTTTCACTTTTTTAATCCAATGTATATAGCATAAGATATTTGACGGTTTCTGAACTTCCTATACTCCCTGCATAAATATATATAAAAATTAGAAATTAATACTTTACCACGAATAAGAGCTGTGATTCCTAGTCGATTGACAAATATGTTGTCAATACCTTCACTTGATGTAAATAATTCAGCAACAACAAATAAATCAGATCTGACTTCTCGTGCTTTATCGATTAAGTACTAGATAAGAAAAATAAAATTTCAAAATCTAAAACGCAAAAGAAGAGCACCAAAAGTGCATTAACTTTTTTAATCATAAGAAAATCATTTATAAAAGATTACACATTGCTTTCAAATTCTCTTTTTTACTAATGTAATTATAAAATTTTCATAATTGTATTAATGCATTTATTAATGTTATACATTAGAATTAATAACATTTGATCTGAATTGGTAACTTATATTTCCTTCTGTTACAAAAGTGCCCTCTTCTGAGGAATGCTCTATGAGCTAATTATCAGATTTCAATTACCAGATTATAGTTTAAATAAATATTCATCATTTTTTTCCAAAATCATTCAGAAAAAGCAAAATATTTGGAAGATCAAACTTAAACAAATGCATTTCAATTATGTAAACAATTGATAAAATTAATTTAGATTTGAATAGCATTAGAAAGTCTAATGGTTCCAACATGCCTTAATTGCAAAATTAAAACCATTTAAAGTTCAACTTACATAAGTTTTAACTTATTTAATTCTTGTAGTATGTTCTCTATAATAAAGCAGAAACAAAATTTTCCTGAAAGAAGAATTTTTTATACATATTTTGCTCACTAGTTTGATATTTACCCCTCAGGATGAGTCAGCAGCTATTCAACTCGTATCACAAACAAGTCGTTTTTCAACATTCAAACTAATATTTAAAAAACTAATCAGTAAAGCTAAATAGAAAGATCTATTTAGTAGCTTTAAGAAGAAAAAAAACTTTGTAAAGAAAGGTTTTTAGTTAACATACTAATCTTTAAAACTCAGTGTTTTAAACAATATTTTTCAAGTTTCTAAATTCTGCTACATTTCGGTAAATTTTTTTGTACCATCAAATTTTTTTCAAAATATGAGAAATTAAAAAATACACAAACAAAATCTTTAAAAAAAACTTACATTTTAAGAGGTACATTTACATTTCAAATGAAAAGGCATGAAAAAAGTTTTGTCTCAGAACACAAATCTAAACTATTCAAAGCGTAGTCAGGCCCTGAATACTACATCAAACTAAATGAAAATATTTATCTTAAATAACTTGAATAAAAAATACTTATAGTACGACTTTCTCAACAGAATGAAACTTAAAATATACATCTGATGAAAAAAAAAATTTACAAATCAATTTTCAGATTCAATTACGTATCTGAAAACGTTGTACAAAATGAAATCTTTAAATAAATTATAAGACTTATAAGTAAAAACTTATACAAAAATAAGCAATAACATGTTTTTACAACATCTACATTATTTCACACAAGGGTAAAAAAAAATGCTTTTGAACTTACCTCAGCAACATGAATGGGAGTACTGTGGCAGTTATCCAAACGCAGGCCATAAAATGCTCGAGACAATTGCTGAACATATTCGGTCATGAATTTCCACAAGAAAGGCGAATCTTCTGGTTTCTTTCCATACCTCAGTTTCACACTGTCTCCCCAGGCTACTAACTCACGCCTTATGTAAACATTGCAGTCCGCTGCTGCAAAATTTTTTAATGGGTCTGCACCCATAACCCATCCATTATGAGCCATAATAAAGCACGCTTGAGGAGAAAACATAAGCTTTTCATCTGATTGGAGATCTATGTCTTTGCCATAATGAAGGAAATATCTAAAAAAAAATAATAACTTTATACTAACAACATTTCAAATTAAAAAAGACAATTTCAATTCTTTTTTTCCCTTCCTTTTCTCTTTCTACAAAATACAGGAAATATTTTTGACAATGAATTCCTAATCACGCTATAAGTTCTGATACAATTTTAAAGGAGTTAAAAGAAAAATTTAGCTATCAAATTTAAAAACAAATTTTTGTAAAAATTTATTTTACCTTTAAATTTAACACATGGCACCCTTTACTCGAAAATAATCACATTTTGAATTCTCACAAATAATCTCTGAGTCTCATACGCGAATCATCAATCAAGTCAACTATCGCTGCTTTCCTTAAAGAATATTAAAGATTTTTTAAATTTAAATGCCCTTTTTTTGCACCCTTCTAACACGAAGACCGACCACAATAGTATAGAATTTGAAATGCAGAAAAATCAATCTTTGTTTCCTAGGAAATCTAGCACATTTTCTTTCAAATACTGCTGGGTCATCTTACTTATGAGCAGAAGTTGAGTCCTGTTGAAAAAATCCAATAGTCTCCATTGAACACACTAAACATCAGAACTATCACTATTGGTTTTCAGATAGCGCATCAATAAACTTTTGCTACAGATTTAGTTTCACTCTAACAAAAGTAAGTCTCTGTTTCACCTTCATAACTAACACATTACCAAAAAATTACGGACGCCAAATGACTAGCTCACTGCAAACATTTTTTTTTTCTATCTTTAACTGCTTGAGCTCACCTTATGTATACACAGTCATTCTGGTGGTTGGTGGTAAAATAAAACAAACCTTATGTATACACTATTATTCTGGCAGTTGAAGTAAAATATAGCACACCTTACGTATACACTATTATCCTGGCGGCCTGGCGGTTGAAGGTAAAATAAAACACACCTCATGTATACACTATTATTCTGGCGGTTGAAGTAAAATAAAACACACCTTATGTATACACTATTATTCTGGCGGTTTAAGTAAAATAAAACACACCTTATGTATACACTATTATTCTGGCGGTTGAAGTAAAATTAAACACACCTTATGTATACACTATTACTATGGCGGTTGAAGGTAAAATAAAACACACCTTATGTATAAACTATTATTCTGGCGGTTGAAGTAAAATAAAAGACACCTTATGGACACACTATTATTCTGGCGGTTGAAGGTAAAATAAAACACACCTTATGTATACACAATTATTCTGACGGTTGAAGGTAAAATAAAACTTGACTAGGAATCAATAAAACTTGAATGACAGAATAATAAAACTTGACTTCAACTTAAAAAATTTTTTCCTCTTAAAACACAATTCAGCTGCAACCATTATGAGCATGACTTCCAATAGTGATATTGATTTAAGGTACATTTGATATACTTGAATTCATCTGGAAAAAAATATCACATTTTTCTTTGGAAAGAATAAGCTTTTACTAATAAATTTTCCTATAAAAAATAAAACTCTTTTTCCGATCCATTTCTCATAATTAAAGCATAATATCGAGTATAAAATATCTAATTATTATATATTACCAATAATAAATTAGTAAATTAGAAACTCAGAAATCCCAATCAGACAACATCGCAACATATATCACCTCGGTGGGGGATAAGTAATGAATGATTTGGTAGCAGTTACTGCCAAGTAAATGTTAGAGCTCTCTTGAAACAAACTATTATTAATATTATAGTAGTAATTAAATATTTACTTATGAAGAGAAGAAATTAATAAGAAATTTGAACTTGAAAAACAAGATAATAAATGTTATCTTGTTAGGCTAAGAAAATCTAATCACACAGATATACAAGTACAGAATGTTTTCCTAATTTTCATCTATGAACCTGGTTGGACACTTCTACTTGCGGTTTTCACCAAGAAAAAAAAACTTAACATTTATTAGTACTTCCAAATACATTATTTTTCTTGATATTCTCTCAGCTGTCAGTACAATTTTTTGGGAAGAAATGTTCTGTATAAATCACTATAATCAACATCCACATTTTCAAGTTTTGAATTCAAATTCGTCTTTCTAAAGCTCTTTTAACTTTATTCATGGAATATTCAATTTTTTAATGACAAAAATATTAGTCTTGTTGATTTATTTTAAAATCTAACTTTTAAAAAAAATGCCTTTTTTACTCTCTTTTTGACACAAACCAAAAATATGTTCTCTTTTCGAACCTAATTTTAAAAGTGTTCGCCATCAAAAATCCCAGATCAGGGCATTACCTATATACGAATTATAACCAATCATTATCATATTATATATATATTTATGTCATTAAATGAGCATTAGCTGTCAAACACTCAGGGTTTGATGCACTAAGTTACAAATATTTATCAATAGTAATTATGCAATTATAAATATTTTTTACTGATATCTAAATTGGGTTTGATTCATTTTCAAATTAAGAATTATCACAAAAGAAATTTAAAAAGAAAGAATGAAATAAAGAAAGAAAAACTTTAAAAAAAAAAAGATGGAAGAAGTTTTGGATAAAATAGTCATTAATGTTATTGAGGGCAGTGAATGAAAGAATTGTTAAAGCAACACTTACGGAGCTGCCAATGGATATTTGGCAGAAACTTCTTTATACTGTGGACCATTAGAGTCTAATCGCTCATAGCGAATTGCAGAAATGACATTTTCAACAGCAACATAAAAGTGACCATCGATTTCAGCTCGTTTGGCATTGTTAAGCTCTTCTAGAGTACATCTCAAGCTATCACAGCATCTTTCTATCTCTTCAGGCTTAGTAATTCTAAATTTGATATTTAATATTTAAAAACAACACAATAACAAAACGGAAACATCTAAACATTTATTTCTTAAATAATAAATTTATTATTTCTGAAATGCATCGTAAAAAAATAATGAGTTTTCTCGATTGTCACAGTTCAAAATTTGGAATTTAAGAATTTCTGGTTAATAGATATATTATAACAATGAAACTTAAAGAAATTCAAGTAAGGACATTTTACGAAGCTTTTGAGAGCAAAATAAAAATTTATAAATTATTGATGCCCTAAATTATTTCCTTTCCACTCATGTTCTTTAAAAGTAATGGCAAAAATCCTCAAAAAATATTATATTCCATACAAAGAACTTAATATAATTATATAACAAGGGTGTAAATAAAGAAATTTGGTCACGGGTCCTAAGGACCAGTAACTAAAAGATACTACTAATCTGTGTACATTTTCACTGGCCTGTTTACAATTCTATTAAATCCTTAAAAAAATTATAAAGTGAATTCAATTGAAACATTACAATAGAGAGAATGTGCAACATTCACAATTATGATGATGTACACTTTTCTATGACAAAAAAGCAGACCAAAGTACAAAGCCAAAAATTAAAACACAATGTATCATATGATTCATTTACTTTGACCACTGATCTGAGGGACCAGTGATAATTATTTTATGGTGAGCCAAACAAATTTTAGCAGTCTGGACAAGCAGACTACCATTAATTTTGAGCCCTGCATATAATATGGTTTAACCCCTTAATGGCTGCATAATTTCGAAAAAAAAAATGATCATAAAAGTGCTTTCCTTTATTATTATTATTCAAGAAAATTAGATTCCTTTTAAATTTTCAGCTTGAAGTAAAAAAATTATTTTTTAGGAAAACGCAATCATTAAGGGATTTAAAAAATATATTTGATCATAGAATGCAAACTATATATATTCACAAAGATAAAAAGCAACTAAAATAAGATTACGAGAAATATATAACAAATATACAAATTTGATGTGCGCTAATATCTAGTTTAAAATAAACTATCTTTAAACACATTAAAAATAGTCTGGTACTACCATCTGGTTCATAGAATAACCATCTCACGTCTGTTTCTGGTTTAAAACACTCCAACTCAAAAATATCACGACATGAGAAACGGGTGTGAAACTCCAGCCCATTATTTTGATGGAAATGGATATAAAGGTATTAAGTTGAGTTTTTAAACTTTTACAGACAAAAAAGCATTAAGTTTTATCATCAGTTTGACCCAAATTAGTTTGTGCATGTTAATTTTATGAAAAATCAAATGCATCTCATTCAAAAGAACTTTGGGCAAAACAAGAGTCCAGTTCCTCTATCCAACAGGAAATCACTTAAACAAAACTTGGAAAACTGGCAATCAAAGAATATTTTCAAAATAATATTCCAGCATGTAAAAACGAGAAAATACAAATTATACTGAAATTTCTGCTATGAATGCGTTTCCTCAGGATGATAATTAAATGCAACATAAACAAGCCTGGGATAACTATTGATAATCAAGGAAGCACTTAACAAAGTCATCATAGCTCATATATAAAATGAAATAAAATATTTTTACTACTTCAGTAATAATTGTCATCATACAGTGCTCGAAATAAACAGTCCAAATTAATTTCAAGCTAACAATTGGATTCTTAAAAATTATTTCCGTGTTTAGAAAGGCCCAACTAAAATTGGCTAATAAAATTGTACAATAATAATTTATGGTATGAAATCAGACACAAATGTACTTTCTCTGTATTTCTGTAATTTTGTATAATGTATTTTTTTCTAAAATATTTAGATTATTATCCACCAAGTTATAAAGGTCAGGAGCAATCTGAAAGATAAACTTAATCTAGTTCAGCTAATGAAATTGTACAATAATAATTTATGGTATGAAATCAGACACAAATGTACTTTCTCTGTATTTCTGTAATTTTGTATAATGTATTTCTTTCTAAAATATTTAGATTATTATCCTCCAAGTTATAAAGGTCAGGAGCAATCTGAAAGATAAACTTAATCTAGTTTAGTTAAAATACCACTCAAAAGTTTGGGTTTCTTAATGTTATTCTTACATTGTTCAGGTTACCACAATTTAAGAGCAGAAATATTTTAATTTGAGTAGTTAGTTTAAGTATTAACTACTCAAATTAAAATATTTCTGCACTCATAAACTTGTAAAATTCTTATAAAACTTCCAACTTTCAAAGTAATTCAACCCGAAAATTACTTTTAATCAATATTATTAGCTTAATTAATAACAAGCAATTATAAGGTGTAACTTTAAGATATAAAAATTCAAAGAAACTCCTTTAATTTTGGTATCTATCAGTACACATAATTAATTTTGTTCAAAATTAAGATCTTGTCGAATAAAATTATTATTATTTTGAGATTATAAATAAGTTTGCAAAGTCTCTTAAGATAAACTCAATCTTTAAAACAAGAAATAATCACTAAAAAGTTGTTTTTTGGTTATATTCAGGCAAACAAATTTTATAAATGAGTACAAACATATTTTGATGAAAGTAATTAGTTTCAGGGATATGGCAAAAGTAAAACTAATAATAAAAAAAGCAAAAATTCAATCAAGCTTATAACTAAACCATTAGAATCATATTTTCCAGATTGAAGCTACCTTCCTATCATAACTTGAAAGGAAAAATTATTCAGCGAGAGAACAAATGTGGGCTTTCATTTTAGAAAAATTTAATTATCTCCTGATTAACTACTTTTGATGGGTTTCTTAAATGAAAAAGTTTGCAAAGATAAAAATCAGACCATTCAATTACAAGGTATAACATTGTCAACTTAGTGTGCTAAAAATTTTAAGCAACTTTGATACTTACTGTGTGGGTGCATAAATATAAGAGGCCAATTTTACATCAACAGTGCTTTTGAATCTTCTATATTCTGGATCCTGAATGATTTTCAATTCTCCTGGGAGAGTTTCTATTTTTCTATTGGAATCTATAAAAATTAAATTCCTTAACATCACTCTTTATTTATAGAACAGTTCTTGTTGATCGAATAAATTGTAAATTAAATAAATATAAGATTCATGAACCAAAAGAAAGTTCTCGATTATTCGGATCGCGACTATCCAGCCTAATAAAAGATGAGGAATATTGNTTTGAATCTTCTATATTCTGGATCCTGAATGATTTTCAATTCTCCTGGGAGAGTTTCTATTTTTCTATTGGAATCTATAAAAATTAAATTCCTTAACATCACTCTTTATTTATAGAACAGTTCTTGTTCATCGAATAAATTGTAAATTAAATAAATATAAGATTCATGAACCAAAAGTAAGTTCTCGATTATTCGGATCCTGACTATCCAGCCTAATAAAAGATGAGGAACATTGGAACTGACTATTAGCAAAACTCATCCTAAGATGAGGAAGAAGAGGAGAAAAATGAGGGACGCTAAAAGCGGTCCCCTACCACAAACCCACTCCTATCAGCATATCGAGAGCTAAACTGTATATTTAAATTCTTCCTAGTCAAAATTTTTCATATTTGCATAGTTTTTTAATAAACAAACATGTGTTTTTAATTATATGGGGGGTAGGAGAAAGAACTACATCCTATTTGGCTTTCTTGTTGTACGCAGATGTGCCAACTTTCCAGACTGGCTATCAATAATCAGAATTACAATAACGCAGAAATGTATAAAATTAGACTACATAAAATATATATAAAGTTCAAATTAACACAATTTTGAAGAGTAAAGGCTACTTAATTCCATATAGGCATATAATAGTAATAAAATTAAGCATGAATTATTATTAAATAGAAAAAGTATACTCTCTACTAAATTACTTGTATAAAATTAAATATTATAAGATACTAAAATTTCATAGTTCAATAAAAAGTGAAAAAATAAAATTGATTATTTGAAATTAACGTTCAAGTTTTTGATTAAATTAAAACTAGTCTTTTTTCTCTCTTTATCCTCCTGCATTTAAACAATTAAAAATTCTTACCCAAAGCATTTCAGATTTGAGTTTATGCTCTTTTGCTTTTCTATAAAGAGAGAAATTAAAGTTTCAGAATAGCTTGTTGGATTGGGGAAATATTAGATTTCCTTGCTTTTTTATCCTCATTTCTATCAAATCGTCTTTGTTTTTTATTTGTTTTTAGAATTGTTTAAGTAGTAGAAAAAATTACAATGAATAACAACTTTCTATTTCTATTGCATGAAATTTTTAACAGGTCATAGCTACTTTCATAACGCTGATTTCAAATCTGCACTGAGTTTTTCTTTCCAAGCAATTATTTATTGACATTTTTGGTTTATTTTTTGTAGAAATGCTCAAGTTTAAAACCTTATATATGACAGAAGGTCGTTTAAATGTTGTAAAACATCTAGGGAAGTTAGGATTATCAACAGGATTAAAATTGTATAGGAACCCATGCACAATAATGTCCTCAGATGCCACAGGGAATGCTTCCTTATTATGAACAGATTTTTCAAATGCTTCTGAACAGGTCATAATAGGGAAGTGCCCCTAGCTATGTGCGACAACATTTCTGAATCAATTTTAATCCTGATGATGTGCCCCAACTGCCCTAGAAGTTTATTGCAACATTTATGTGACTCCCTGTTACTTATAAAAAAAATTTAAACTTGTACATTTTAACAAAAAAAATAGAGTAAAAATGTAATTTTTAAAAAAAATTTTAGCTTTAAGAGCAAAACTAATTTCAGATTTGAAATCCCCATACCCAGATCAGGCAAGATCAAGTATTTGAATAAATGCAACAAAAAATTTATTCCCCGGTATTAATTCTTGCAAATAATAAAATTTCATAACTCTTGGTAGTTAGGGAACAAAAACTTATTTTAAACAAATTAAGGAAATTGTCAAAAACCATAATTTTTATAATTCAACCATAGACCGTATTCGTAATTGTTGTCCCCTCTGTGTACAGCCTACCCATACGACACATCTGATAGAATAGTCGAGAGCCCATTGCATTTGAAAAAAAAGTATACATCACACAGCTAACCTTGTAAGTACTTTCTAAACTCTTTCACGACTTCAGCAACATCCATCATGTAAAACTCGTGCAGTTTCAATTGATGTTTAAAATATCCCTTGAATGCTTCCCTAATGGCCTAAAAGGGAAAAACATTAAATAATCACAGTCATTTATAACTAATATTTAATAATAGCAAAAATGATGAGACTGCTTACATTCAGGTGGGATTCGTCATTAACAGATGGAGGGATGCCACTTCCAGTCCATTTGCCTTCACTAATTTCTATGGAAAAATAATAGATAACTCTGTCTAAAAGATATGCAGGCCTCAAATGTGGAGAGTTTATAAGGTTATATGTTGCTTCAGGGTGTTCTTGCAGCCACTCACTTTCATTAGCAGTGTGATTAAGAACTATATCAGTAATGGCTATAACCTAAAATGATTGAAGGGAAATATAACAACAATAATGGAATTATTGGTGCATTGTCTCTGCCGCAGTGGAACATGCCTTATTCTAAAAAGGCACTGAGAAATAATTCCTTTGAAAAGTGCAATGTGAAACAATTACAAGTATCTTTTTTTATGCTTTTATTCTTATTTCTACAATTACAAATAAGAAAAAAAATTTGCTTGTAATCATTGCATCGAGCTTTAACAATTTCTTTTTTTAAAAATTTATTAAATTGGTATTTAAAAAACTCAATAGCATCCCCTTTTAGAAAAAGAACTAAAAATATTCCCACTGGCAAACAAAGAAACTTTTTGAAAATTGTCCATTTTTCTTCTCAGACTATGACCAAACCAAATCTATTTATAATTAGTGGTATTGGTCTAGTTTAAGGTTCAATCATGACTATTTAATACTAGAAAATGTGACAAGATCAGGTCTGCTCGCAATGTTCTATCAGTTAAGATATCATTTACAAATGATAATTGCAAAGTTTTGTTAAATTATATATAAGCCTTCTAAAATTTTTAAATTTTAATAAATAAAAAAATTACCAGTTATATGTTTAATAAAATAGCATTGAAAAAATTTAGAAGTATTGGAAAATTATTAAAGAAGGGTAATTAAAAGGGGCTAGTAATTTATTATGTTTCTAAATCCATCCTTATGCTACCCCTATAAGGATCTACAACTATTTAAAATGTTCCAAAACAATTTTTTTTTATCATTTTAGCAAATCAAAGAAATAGAGGCAATTTCAATATAGCGTTAAACAAAGTTAAGCTAAATTGAAAAGTTAATACAAATCAAAGGGAAGAGAAATAACAAGAAAATATTTAAGTTGCTTTTGTTTTTAATCCTCTGAGTTAACAAAGGCAAGTCAGATTAGCCTCATTTGGTTCTCAACTATTATGGTTTTGTTCGCTAAACACATTTATTTCTACTTTAAACAATACAAAATATTGCATGCAAAAATGAGAAAATAATTAAATTTGAACCACTTGGCAAAATTGGTTGATGGGATAATAAGTAAGTGCCTTAAAGTTTACTCGATGAGCAAACTGTTAAGCTTTATATATAAATCCTGATTAAAGAGAAAATAATAATAAAGTAAAACAAAAAAATATAAAAATATTCAGAATTGTTTTAAAGATGAGAAAGTTGGAGATTTCGCAAAAAGTCAGAATAATCTCATGCCTGAAACCAAGACTGGAGATTTAGAAATATAACTAACCAGTTGAATTATTATAAACCTTGAAACTCAAGATGTAGTTATTCCTTTACAGATTCATTCGATGAAATGAAAAATCAATTTTAAAGAAAAAATTGCTCTGGTCATTCAGCAAGCTCTATAAAGGACATTTTTTTAATGGAAATTATAACATTTACTTCATCTATCAAGGTAAAAAAAAATTTAAAAGCTCTAGATAGTCATCCATGGGTAGCTCTTTTGAAGCAGTTTCAAATGGACCTGAATTTAATAGATTCCTGAACTATATCCTCAATTATCTGTTACCGGAATTTAAAATCAACTTTTTTCAATTTATCAGATAGCATCACTTAAGAATGTATTCTAACATTTTGGTAAAGCAATGGGCATTTTTTTTTCAAATTGATTAAAAAAATCATCAGGTTCAGTAGAAATATATTAATTTCTCGAACACATAAAATGTACGGAAAAAGACCATTCACAGTTATGACCTATTATCACTTCAAATTAAAAATGCTCCATTTCCATAATAGTAAATTCTGAAGAAAAATAAAAGGATTATCAATTTCTGCACCTATTTCAAAGGGCAATGTTGGAGCTCAGACAAGAGTTTTACTATTAATTTACTTGACTAATTCCAATGAACAATAAGCCAGGAAACAACTTCTCAATAAGTTGCAGGCATTAATGCTTCAAATAGTGTTTTGATTTTATCAGAAAAGTTTAAAACACGTTTAGACATTGGTTAACATTTTTGCAGCTCATCTAAATATTTGATAAATTTTAGATCGTTACCAGCAATTTTATGTACACCAACAAAGAGAAGAAGAGTTAAAATATTTAAAAGCTGAATTTTTGGATATTGTAATAGCCTAGCACAATATTCAAATAAAACTCCATAAAGACGTTATCAACACATATCATTTTCATAAGAATTAGGATCAATAATAAATTCAAAGATTAAAATTTATTTATTTATTTAAGAACATTAATCCATTTTTCAGCAATAGCAAAAATTTAAATATTTCTAAATAACCTTATTATTAAGAAAAATAAACTATAATCAAGCCTTTTTATTGATGACAGTCACTATTTTCACAGCATTAAAATGATTAAAAAATTAAAAATATAATCATGTATAATTTGCAAAGAATTAGAATTTTACCCTCCATTCTTTTCTCATTTTTTCCACAAGTGCAGCAACATCATTAATAGTGCACTTCTTTTTAGGTGAGTCAAAAATAGGATTTAACTTCAGTTGATTTCTTAACGAATAAGAAGAATTAGATGCGCCCAGCTCCTGAATGGGAGTAAAGTGTATCATGTTATAGCCAACTTCTTTGGCCGTCCGAAGACGTCCCTCCCATTCCTCGAAAGAACCGAGACTTTTAGCTAAGTAGGTTACACATAAAATACTATCAAGAGATAGTACTTCATTATCTGGCCCAAACGTTAGAGCAGGATCCACCAAAATATAACCATAGCCACAGGGTTTCAAAATATCCCTGAAATTCATAACAGAATTACATACAATTAGAAAACTGAAGTAAGAACTTACATTTTAAAATGAATTCATATCCATGAGTTCAAAATAATATTACAACTTATTAAAAAGAATAAATCAAATTTTATAGAACAAGATATTCGAAAAATGTGCAATTTGAATACAATTTTTATAAGCAAACAATACATTTTATTATCGAGATACTAGAAGTGATAAATTAAAAATGTCCTTTTAACATATCTTTATAGCACAAGCATCATCAGCACTAAATCATGTTATCAGTAATAGTAAGTTTTGATATGGTTTACTCCAAAAATATTAATAAAAGAAAAACTTAAATTTTATTTAAATTTCTTTTCAAGAAGAAAGAGCACATTTTTTTGAGAAAAACAGATAAAATAATAAATACTAATTTGAAAATTTAGATTTGTTAGTGCAGTACAACATCTGTACTGATTTAAAATCCCATTGACATGGGAAAAAAATTTATGTTTTTTTCTAGAAAAATCTTCGATGCCAGCAACAAACAAAACAGTATATGAAACAGTGAATGCATTTCGTGCTAACATATATTTATTAATTCGTGTTAAATACTAATTAGGTCACAAAATAAATATAAAATTTCTGGAAAAAAAACTGATTCTTGTATTAATTTGCAGCTGCATTCAGGAAAACTTTTGTCTAGGAATATGGAAGGGGGAGTAGAGAACTATTAATGTGATTCTCATTTTCTGCATTTTCATACATCTCTGAAATTAAAAAACTGAAAGATTTGCTTCATGCAATTAAAAAAATTTCAAAAATAATTTCCTGGAGAAAAAGAAAAATTTCTACTCATTATTTTTCACTTTGATAAACAAACAAATTCCACATTTAAAAAAATTTCTTCCGTGCTAAACTTACAAAACTGAAATTATTAAATTTATTTTTCAAATAATTGTTGAAAAATATTAAATTTAAACTAGGTTTTCCTACAAATAAAAAAATCATTACCTTCTAAAAAATATATTTTTCAAGCTATTTAATCAAATTATAAACTAAATAAACGTAGCAAATAATTTTTTTGTACAAATTATCATGTAATAAGAACTGCAGACAAAAATCTTCTGATTCATATCTAAGCAACTAATTTCAGGTATACAAAAACTACTGGCTTATTTAGCAGATGTGGCAAAATGCAATTTCACATTCTAGTTAAAGTAAATGAATTATAACTTTTTGAAAGTTTATTTTACACAACAAAATTAAAACAAAGTTCACTTTTATCTCATAAAAAAGTGGAATATATTGTAATTAATACAGAGCATTTTTAATAAACAAATTGTGTATTAATTAAAAATTTCAAAAAATATAACAGTAAAGATTATTACAGTAATGAATACTACTTTGAAAAAAATAATTGTGAGTGATCAAACAAAAGTATATGTTTCACCTATCAAATTAACTAAAGCATTGTGCAGATAAATTTATTAAACTCCGCAAATGATAAAGAACAATGCTATTTATAATCCAGGAAGCAATGATGTTAAAAATAAACTTAAAGTAGGTTAGATAATAAATCAATTATGCATCATTGGGTGCTTTGAATTACCTTCCATGAAATGTGTAAATCTGGAAGTTGTATTTCTTAATTATATAAAATCTATGATACAACTTATAAAAGTTTCAGCTTTATTCAAGGTATTGCCTAACCTAAGTCAAAACCTTTCTACAACATATTTAATGATGAATGAAACATAAATTTCCGTAAAAGAAAACCCAAAATTTACATTTAGATTCACACATGTGAAACTGAGCTATAAAAGAACATAAATAATAGAACACTTTTGAAAATGAGTTATTTCAGTAGACAAATAATAATATTTAACCAATTATATTTTCTATTGCATATAAAATAGTTGTTTGTAATCTAAAAATGTTAATAAAAATATATTTTTTTTAAATAACTTTTTATATTAATATTGTAAAACAAAAAGTTTTCAAAATATTAGATTTTTCATACACATAACTGTCTTGAGTTCCGAAGTCAAACCAATTTAAAGAAAAGTCTGACCATTTAAGCCATACATATAATCAAAATTTACGAACCTATTTCACACATAAATACATAAAACTGATAAAATTTTGTAAAATCAAAATTCAGTAAAAAGTTTCTTTTTCAGTTTAAAAAAAACGAATATAACCCAAATAATTCTTTATGATTAACTATTATAACCTAATATAATATTTTTTATACTTTAAATAGTAAAATTTTTATATGCAATGTTTTAAATTTTGTATAAAACACTTAATAAAACACATAGAACATCACATTTCTGTATGCATGGTTTCTTTTTAATAAACTGTTCTGCATCATAATAAAGAAATATTTTTCAGAAATTTTTCACACTTGAAAAAATGCGAAAACAAATAACATTAATTTGCTTTTGCATAAAACCTAATTTAGATAAATTGCAAATAGCAATAAGTATTTTTACATATTTCAGAAACAAATATTTTATGCTAAGCTAATAAAAATGAGAAGAAAATAAATGTCATTCAATACTTTTGAAAAATGATTAAATGGTTCATTTTTCTAAGGGCTGTCTCAAAACTCATATTAATGACTCTTTCAAAATTGTTAAAGGTAAAAATCAATTAATTAATTAAAACTACAAACAAGCAGGTTACAAAACTAATATTTATAAGACATAAGAGCTGTCAATCTTTTTAACAACTGTATAAAATTTCACAGAGAATCTCAAAGCAATCAAAATATTTTTCTACAATAAAAAAACTAACAAATAGGTTAATTATTGCTTAATTTATAGAGAATCAAAATATTAACATTCAAGTAAAGTTTATAATTTAAAAACCTTTTTAATTTTTTGTGAGGTGAAGGTATACAATATTATTAGATATATTATTAGTTACAGAAAAAAAACTTATTATTATACACAATTTTAATAAACAGTAACTAACCCGCCTTCCTGTATGAAGAAATAGTGGAAACTTCCGGACATTTCAAATGTAACATTGCAGTACAATGCAGTATCATCCCCTTTGTTTAAACTATCAGATTTCCAAGGTAATTCCCTGTACACAAGCCTTTTAAATCCATCTGTTGGATTTTCAGGATAATTTATAAAGAGTTTTATACTTTGTCCAAATAGAGTAGGCCCTGGTTTAAACTGAACAACTGATCCTGAAAAAAAATTAAAAGCATGAGAAAGCATAGCCAAATAATACAGAATTACTTAGCTTAATACAAAGATTTAAAAAATTTACGTTATATAAATATGTATATATTTAGAGCATGAAAAAACCTATTGTATGTTCATAGAAAATAACTTCTTTTATTTGAGTAGTAAAACTCTATCCACACTCCAGTTTTCCAGGTTATCAATGCTTCAAGTAATATTATCAGGTATATTTATTATATTAGGTATGTTAATGACAGATTATCTAGATTCCTTTAGGTAATATAAATAATAAAACAAGAAACAGATTACAATAATATTTCAAAACCATAAACTATAAATTATATTAGAAATTTATGTGTTGAGAAAATCTAAACAATAACCTTGTTTTATTGATTTAATTATCTTAATGCTGAACATTAATATTGCGGCATGCCTGTGTCACACTTTTCTTAAAAGTGTGAAAAACCACACCCCTTTGGTATTTCATATAATTAGCTGGTCACACTTTTTCCTAAACTGGGACAAACCACATGTCCGTAAAGGATAATGCACAATGACTTCGAGGAAGACTGCTAAAATTCATCAATTGGTGACAACTTAGTTAAAACTTCAAAACTTGACAGACACTCACACATCACCCAACTATGACCAAGCACCCAGTCTCATTTTTAGAGCTCTATCTTTAACGGGACCATATGGCCACCACAAAATTTTGATCCTAGTCCGGCAAAGTGAACAGCACCTGAGCTGGTACCCAAACTTCCACACCACAACAACAGATTTAAAGGGCGTCTTGCTGCATATACATGCGAGTTGTTTTATCTCCAACCAGCAGTGAGAGTGTCACTTTAACAGACTCAACCATCATATCGCCAATAGGCACTCACAAAGACTTAACATGTTTTGCCGAAACATCAAATACACAAAAGAAATAACCTTTTTTCATCAATTATCTTAATATTTGACTATCTGGATTGACTCATTTTTTAGTTTATTTAAATGTCTCTTTAAATAGTATTATTTTAATAACTAAAATGGAAGGGGGAAAAAACTTGATTTTTTTTTATATTCCCAAAAACTTTATGTAGACATTACACTAAAATTAATGAAAATGTCTATCATTCTTAGAACTATAACTTATATTTCTATTATTTGCTGTTTTTAAAAAAGAAAGGAAAAATACTAATATTTACCTTTACTAACAGAAAAAAGAACGGATTGCAAGTTTTCATTTTCATTCAGGTAATGTACTCTAATCTGGATGCTTAAAGGATGGGGGCTTGCCATTTTCTTTTTCAAGTTTAAAAGATTAGGTTAGAAAAGTATCATACCTGAAAATATAAACCACTTATTTAGAAAACATAAAATAGCAAAAATCAAATTATCTTACTTATTCAAATATAGGTTATAGAAAAAACAGAGAAATAGAATATTCTACAAAAAAATCTAAAAAACAAAGTATACAGTATTATATACATTTTTTATTCATTTATTTTTCTTATAATCATGGAAATTCGAGCTATTTTAAATCGAACCCTATTGTAAACCCTGAGGCAGAATTTTTTGGGGTTTTCCGCGACAAACCTCTCTAGCACTAATATCTTTCTGCAAGATACTTATAATAATGACAAATGTACATGTTACTAATACATTTCTTTTCCCACCAATGCCTGTGAAAGGAATCTTTCGAAAAATGAAGGGAAAGTTTTGTCACATAATATACGTTGTTATATAATAGTTCTGGAGGGGGAAAAAATCTTATGAAAATTTCGGTAGAAAAGGAAACCAAATTTTTTTTACTTCATTATTCTTTATTTTTCATTATTCCCAACAAATAGAAAAATCGTGAACATTTCTTTCCCCTCTGATGCACGAAAAGGCACCTTTTGAATATAATTTCGGAGAAAAAAAACCTTACAAACATTTCTGCAGAAAAGAAATTTTTTATTCCACTATTCTTTATTTTCCATTTTTCTCAAATAAGAATAGAAAAATCATAAACATTTCTTTCCCCTCCAATGCGCAAAAAAGGCATCTTTTAAATATAAATTTAGAGAAAAAAAAATTTAAAATTTCTGCAGAAAAGAAAACTAAAATTTTTTTACTTCCTAAAGAAAAATTCTTTCTGCAAGAACTATGCAACATTCTGTAACAATGCCGTCGTGATTCTGCCACAGAGATTGTAAATGGGTAGGTACTACTATTCTATTTTGAGACCTCTAAAAAAACTTTTTATCTATATCAGGTCCCGATACTGATATAATAGGTACCTATACTAACATCTACCTATTACCCCAATATAACCAACAATTCATAAAGCATTACAAGCATCAATAATAGTTTGGTGATTTCTTAATGCCCGTAAACTTAATTTAGAATTGATAAAGAAAACTGCTGTATCTAGTACAAAAAACAAACTGACATTGTTTCATTCTTCAACTTTTTTTACAACTTGTGATTTCTAGGATTTTAAGAAACACAATCAGAATAGAGTAAGCAACTACAAACATTGAAAAAATTACCCATCTTTCTGATGACAATATGTCTTATCAGTTAGACAACAAAAGACAGTAATTTTTTTTTAGCTTCATGAAGTTCTAATGTTTTTTTATTTAAAAATTCCATTGTTTTGAATGACAGAAATTTCTTTAGTCAAAACATTCAACATATAATCGATACAAAACTGGAAAATTAACTAAAAAATAAGAAATTTTTTTATAGGGTATAGATTTTTTGAAATTCATCAAAAAAACTTTGTCTTAGACTAATTTCTTTAGTGAAAACATCAACGAGATTATCTATCAATGGAAATTTAAATTATAACTTTTACGAAGAGAAAAATTACTATGAAATAATAATAAAACAAGAATTTAGAAAAAGTATAAATTAAATATTTATAAACCAATAAACCAGTATACTGATTTATAAATACTTATTAATTCTTTAATAAATGCTTACTCTGAAAAATCTCATTTCCATATTTCAGGCATAAAATTTCACAGATCAAATTAGAAAGATTTTAATTACTATACTTTAAATGAGTATCTATAACCTCTGATTACTGTTCTTTAAAACTGTACATATTTTCTAGTTATTCTGTGTTGCGCCTGAACTATCATAAAGTCTGAAAGGCCTGGTCTTAAGGCTGTCCTTAATATTACTGTGGGTCCCCTAAATGTAACAAATTATTTATTTCTATCCATTTTCTTAAGAATTGTTAATTAGAATTACAAGTTCATGAAAATTAAAATAAATATAAGCTCAAGTTCACTAAGAAATCATGATTTACTTATAATATAAATAATTTAAAAACATGGCATGCAAACATTATTTAAATTTAGTTTAAAATTACGATAATTTGGACCCTTAACAGTTTTGTGCCTACAGCCCCCAGATTCTATATAAAATATAATTATTCTTCATATTTTTTCCATAGTTTTAAAGACAATGAAAAGCATATTGCTTATGATTATCATAAGTAAAAATAATTTAAATAATATTGTTAATATTTAAAAAAATTAATTATTAACATTTAAAAAAAATGATAACCAATAGTACTTTTATAAAAAATTAAAATTTCATCAGTAGTGTAAAAAATATAAAATATTTACCGGTTTCTGTTCTTTTTGTCTATGCTTTGGATTACTTTTAAAAATAGAGAAAAACTTAACTGTCCAATAGGAAAATAACATAACTTGAATAGTGTTTAAAATGTAACAAATAATAGTTATATAACAATTCATAATTCAATTATAAATCTTTAAAAAATAATCTTTCTGGTCAAATAAAGTAGATTCAAAACATTTTAGTCCTGGAGTTTATAAAAAGCTCCTTAAAGTTTTTTAACAGATATAACATAAATTATATATCGTAAATAATTTATTAAATGTTGGATAAAATGCGAGAATATAAAGAATTGAATTTAAATTATATAATTCCCGCTAATGTATTTAGAAGATAAATTTATATAATGTAGAATTAGAGTCTTAAAATATATACCGAAAAGGATGCATCTAAAACTAAATAACAATAAAATACTAAAGTAGGACATTAAAGATTTCGTGGAATTTAAGAACATAACATGAATTTGGGTGCAAAATAAAATCATCAATTATCTGAACTTTAGTTTAACCATTCCCCAAATCTAAAATTACTGGTAAAACTAACAAAAAAAAGCATGAAATTATAATATAGTATGTAAAAATGTAATTTCACCAATAGCTAACAAATTTTCTTCCAAGATTTTAAGCTATATAAACATAATAAATAGTTAGATTTACCGGTGGCAGAATTTCATAACCTATCACCTGACAAGTCAAATCAAAACATTCTGAAAAAAGAAGTCACCTTCCCAGGAAAAAGCAGCCGATTCAAAGGTCAAAGTAAAAGTTGAAGTTACTTCATTTTTTATAAACGCTTTTGCCTGACTATTTCTGTTTTTTTACATGCCTCAAATTTAGTGCAGTTTTAGAACGAAAATTTCCTTCAATAATGAAAATGCCATTTGGGGACAGCAATGATTTTTCTCAATGTGATCGGGAGTGCGGTAACCGCTTTCTGGAACGCGCATTCGGAGACAAAATGCTAGTGAGGTGATCTCTGAAATTTCTATCATACTAGTTTTTGTTTCGTGTTTGTAACTGTCTTAGAAAGGCATAATTTTTATTTATGTTTAGTTAAACTTAGTGAATTTTTCTTATTTATAAAAATAGTAAATGTACTCCTTTTATTTTAAACCTGAGTCAGTCTTCTCTTTATATTTTTCTAATATTTAATGTTTCAAAAGCACACTGTTTAAATTATTGCATCTAGCCGATTATTGAAAACAAAGTTTTTTGTAGATAATGCGGAAGAATATTTATTCATGTAAATATAGATATATTTATTTATTATCTAATAAACTTCTTTGATCATTGAATACTTATTTGAACCTATTTCTTCTTTGTTACTAATTTTTGCAACAATACAATCATTGTTTCTCAATAAAAATCGACTTGTACAAAGTCATTCGGTTTTTCGAAAAACGTTACAAAATATGAGATGAAAAAGTATTAATGTTTAATAAATATGTTTAATGATTGAAGTTGACTGAAAAGGTAAATTAAGTTATATGCGTTTACTATGCATTAAAATGTTTGTCTTGTGAACAAGACAATTTGCTCTGATTAGTTTTAGGAAATTTGTGATTATTTAACATTTACTCAATAGAGTTAAATTTGGGAATCAGGGCCTCTTTTTGAAATAGTCAAAATGAAATTTTTAAAACTTCTTTAAATTTTAATTAGTGCCAATGGTGATGGCACTGGTGTTAAAATATTGAAATGTCATTGTGAAAAACTTGGTCCTTTATTTCCAACCATGCCTTGTAATCCATTCTGTTTCAGATTGATGTGTACTAACTTATCTAAGAAGTAAAAGCAACTAGTGTGCATTGCTGACCACATTGCCACCATTCTGCCTCTGGTTCAGTAGTTGCGGGGTCTTTACCTCTATGACCTATAATGGGTTGTGAGATTTTTGAATTAATACTTACGTCAAAATAATTGCAAGTTTTATCAACTTTTGGGCAGTGGAATGGGAGAAACTTGAAGAAAAAAAATCTCAATGGGGCTATCTCTAAAGGCATTACTCTTAGCCACTTCTAGCAAACCTTTACACATTTTTTTTTTTATATTTAAGTTAAACAGTTTGGTGCCTTGGCAATTGGTGCAAATTGGACTGTTGTTAGAATGCTTTATATATTAATTCAAAACTTAATAATAAAATAATTGATCCATTCAAGGTCTTTCTTAAATATTGTGAAATTACTTTAGAAATTGTCAAACAGAAATTGTTTGGATAGTTATTGTATTTTTAAGGAAAAATAGAGATCCGCAAAGAAAAAAAAATTTGAGAATTTCATGCACCCGGTCACTTTTCACTGGCCACTGTATTACTTGCACCAGCGAATTGAAAAAGTACCGAACATTGTTTTAAGGTAAAAGAAGTTGGAAATATTAATATGTTCCAGTAAGATTTATTCACTTCATTTTCCTTGCATTAATGTGTAATATAAGAGTTGAAATCAAGCATATACATTTATTTAGTTCTACATTGCAGAAAAAATAATTAAGTTTTATAAAAAGATTTAAAAATAATTTTCAGCCATAGCAAAATTTCTTTTTACTTGGAGAATTAAAATGTTAAAAAATAGATGTTAGCATCACTGCCTATTTAATAAATGCTTATTAAAACATGCATTAATAATTATCTTTGTTTTTCTCAAGTTTTTTTTTTTTTTATCCTTTACCATTAGTATAACAAAAACCTCTATCTTATAGATTAGCTGAAATTATGCTTATGGCTAAATTAATTTTTATCAAGTGAAATATTGAGCATAGCTCCTAGATTGTGGTTGCGATGGATACTTATTTTTGAATGGATTAGATTCTTGAAAGTGTTGATTCATTTTTCTGTGATACCCCATACTTATTCTATGATTTTAAAAATGTATAATGCATTAATTTTACTATTTCTGAATTTCTCTTTGCAAACGCTAATAGAATGTTTTATTTTCAGCCAGAAATAAGGCGAAAAAATAACAATAACCATACTTTGTAAATGCTATCTTGCAGAGTATTTAAGTAGTTCTTTTTAAGTACATTTTAATTAGCCTTTAGTACATTTTTTGTAGTGCATTTTAAGTAGTTCTTTTATACTGGACATGTGTGGGAGAGAGAAAAATTAGAATTTTTTAATAACTTGTATTTGGTAACTAATTACAGAAAATCTGATTTCTATACCTTGAAAATTTAAAAAGATTCTAGCAGTTTTCTAAAGAGTTTTGGTTTTTGAATGATGAGAGATTTTCCAGAAATGCTATTACGAGGAATCATCTCTCATAAAAGTAGGTTTTCTCGCACACGTTTTCTTTCCTTACATCTCTCTGTTTTGGTGTACGGACGATTAATTATTATTGTTAGGTAATATCATTTCATATAAAATTTTGTCTTATGACACAAAATTTAGTTTGTGGAAAATCCCTTATTATTTAGATCTTTTTTTTTTTAAGTGCGAAAACTACTTAAAAAATTACTAGAAACTTTTTAAATTTTCAAGATATTCAAATCGGAATTTTTTTTTATTGGTTACAAAGTACGATTCACTACAGAATTATGATTAAAAAAAATTTTTATTGTTTCGGTGCATGCGAAGCATAAAAGAACTACTTTAAATGGACGTATGATAAAAAAAAATTTATCCATTTTTTTTTTTTCAAATGTTATAATAATTTTGTAATTAATTGAAAAATGCATTAGAAATTTTTGCTTAGTTTTATTGAATATTTTTAAAGTTATAGCAAAAAAGCATAAGGCAAAAAGATTATTTTTTTTAAAAAATGCTCGAATCCCTAAGCATTTAACCTAAGTTTACAAAATTTTATGCAATTATTGCAATTAAAAACCAAAGTAATCTATGGGTGTTATAAGCTTGTTGTTATACATTCTGGCATAGGGTGTTCAAAAATACTTGTTTTCTTTCATAATTTATTACCGGTCTCTCAAACCTCTGAAAACATTTTTGATAAGTATGAGAAATTCCATGACTTAAACACTTCTAAAGTTACAAAATAATCCTCTTAGTATTTCTGTAGAAAGTTTATAAAAAGAAAAAGTGTTAAAAACTGAAAGTGTCTCTTCCACATTATGTAGTTCCCATGAAAGAGTAAAATTTCGAGCTATATAGTATAATAGCATTTTTTGCTGTGCCTGAATTTTCTTATTTTTTTCAATGCTGAAAATATTATTCAAATTCCTATTAAAATTGTATTTTCTTTCCATTTTCAGAAAAAAATCAAACAACTTGTTGAGTTTAAATTATCTGCTGAGAAGTGCGAGTGCATTGTCCTTTTTGGTTCCCTAATCAATGTCATGCCTGCCTGATTGTGGTTGTCCAAAAGCTGTTCAAGAGTCAACAGTTGAAGGTGATCTTGCTCATGACGAATCAGCTTACAGACCTTTATCTGAATCCATTCCTCTCTTACCCAAAGATACCACCATGATTACTTATGATGCTGATTCTTGTCAATACGCTATCGTGGCTATTATTGGAAAAGGGTTGGATGGTGCTGCTGTTATTTCTGGTGCTCAACATATCCCTACTGGACAAAAGGTTGCTATACGTCGGATTGATTTGGAACTATGTCCAGAAGATGTTACCTATATTCAAAAAGAAATTCTTATTATACGCCAATTAAGACATGAGAATATATTACCTTATTATTGTTCTTTTGTGTGTCACAATGAAGTCTGGTCTGTTATGCCATTAATGTCGTATGGATCTGCTAGAGATATTATGTATTCCCATTTCTCTGAAGGACTTCCTGAACTGGCTATAAGTTTAGTTTTAAAAGATATTCTGGCAGCTCTGGACTATGTTCATAAACGAGGATATATACATAGAAGTGTCAAAGCTAGCCATATACTTATTTCATCTTCTGGGAAAGCACTCTTGTCTGGGCTTCGCTATTCCTGCAACGTCATAAAAAATGGTAAATGGCAGAATTCTATTCACTGTTTCCCTTCAGACTCTGTGTCAAACTTAAATTGGCTTAGTCCCGAGTTACTCGAACAAAATTTAATGGGTTATAACTCAAAATCGGACATATATAGCCTAGGTATTACTGCTTGTGAACTAGCTAATGGTATTGTCCCCTTTGCTGAGATGGCTCCCACTCAAATGCTGTTGGAGAAACTTCAAGGTTACCATCCTCGTCCTTTAGATTCACGTACTTTTTACGATACTGATGATGTGCAATCGCAAAATAATTTAGCAGATGCTTATCGCTTGCGAGATTTCACTGATGCTTTTCATATTTTTACTGAATTGTGTTTGCAAAGAGATCCTTCCAGGAGACCTACCGCATTGCAATTATCGCGGCATTTGTTTATAAAACAATGTAAAAAATCAAACATTGCTTTACCAGACATTTTAGCAACAGTTACTCCAATTTCAGATCGCATTTCTCTTCCCAAAGAAGATAGTGAGAAATTTATGTTGGAGGACAAATTGCAAGAGTTAGCTTTAAATGAGCCTTGGAATTTTGATTCCTAGTTAATATACATATTTCTAACAATCAATTTTATTCTTTAAACTTTTCAGTTTTCTTAGATTAAATGTATGTAAATAAAATAATAATTTTTTCTCTCTTTGTTTATTCAAGAGATTGATTACATCATTGGTGCATTTTCTTTTGTATCATACAACTATGTGTTCAACATTTAGTATCACATAACTTTTTTATTCTCCCAACAGACAATGATTCTAGAAAAATGTTACAAATAGTTTTCTTTATACATTGAAGTTGTTTAGTAATTTCTTTTTACATATTAAACCTTTGAATACGAATTTTGAGAAAAGATTTTTTTTGTCCCGTTTATTATTCAAAGGAACAAATTAGGTCACAAATAAGGCAAATTTAGTATTTGGGATTTTTCTGACAAGCGGTTATCAATTTAGAGGCTGGGACATGTATATCCTGGTCGTACTTAATGGTGGGATACATATGTCCATTAGTAATTTTTCAACATTTGTTGGGACAAATGAGTCTTGTTAGTAGCCAAAGGGTTAAGTTACTTAGTTTATTTTTTCCTAATTGAAATAATACAGTTCTAACTTAAAGGTAACAGGTGAACATTTTAATTTAGATTCACTTATTTTTTATTACTCTCCATCCCATAACAAATCTTATGAAACAGAAACTACTTCAATCTTAATTCATTAAACATAATGAATTAAGATTAATCATTAAACATAAACAATGTAATAAATTGGGTATTCTATAACTATCACCAGCTCAATATTCAACCTATTTATTTTTATAAAACCAGAGTTCGCCTGTTATAACAGATAGTCATAGTAGACTAGTTGGTGGGGGCAATAAGCAATCGTTTAAATACGATCAAATGTTAGAAATTTCAGCTACAAGACAATTTGATAATGTAACCATTTTTAGAAAGTATTCTTGGGAGCGAGTACATACATAGCAAGGTATGCCACGTATGAAATTTTTATGAATATCGGATATTCATGATATATATCACATATGTCCACACTGAAACAGCCAGAAAATTATGTTGGTTGAAAATATTTTTTAATGTAATCATGATTCACGTTTTAGAGGTACGCAACCTTTTTGAGTAAAGGGCCAAACGCATAATAACTCGTGTTAGCGGCAAATATGGTAATTTTTATGTAAACATTATTCTAAGCACTAAGTTTTTTTTATCAGTAAACTTAATAACATATTTTCCAAAAATTAAATACTTTAAATTATATGAATTTACTTAAAAATTCATATAATAAAATTTACTTTGGCCTGCCATTGGAAATAAAAAAAAAAAAAAACTTAAAAATACAAAAACTAATACTACTTTCTAAAAAACTTTTCCATTTTTCACAAATATCACAAAAAATAATGTGTATTGGGAGGAAATAAATTCTAACTAAAGAAAAAAAAATTATTGAGCTTATAGAATGAAAGTACAAAATATATATGCATTTTATAGAGTGATACAATTTTGAATTAAATATTTTTATTTAAGAAAATGTATAATGTTTAACCAAAAATTAAAACAAATCTATTATAGTACAAAATACAATTCAATATTTATTTAGTATTATTTTTCAGCTATTATTTCTATTTCATGAATTATTCGAATTTTTTAATAAAAAACGTTTTTCTTTTTTAAAATTTTTTCCTATTAAAATTCACCTAAGCTAAAAAAAAATTATGTGAGTGAACGAAANTTATTTAAGAAAATGTATAATGTTTAACCAAAAATTAAAACAAATCTATTATAGTACAAAATAAAATTCAATATTTATTTAGTATTATTTTTCAGATATTATTTCTATTTCATGAATTATTCGAGTTTTTTAAGAATTTTTTAATAAAAACCGGTTTTTTTTTTTTTTAAATTTTTTCCTATTAAAATTCACCTAAGCTAAAAAAAAATTAGGTGAGTGAGAAGTTTAAAAACTCTCGTTTTCCAGAAATTTTTCATGGAGCAATAACTTTGTATTGAAATATCGGGATTCTAAATATCACGTACAAATGCATGGTGGCGAAAAAAGAACTTATATTTACGATGAAATGTGTAGGAATAAATTGTGTCTAATAGTGATTATTTAAATTCGCGTGACGTATTAGCATCGTAGTTAAAAATAACGAAGAAAAGCATCCCAATAATTGGAAGAAAAAATAAGTGTCGTAATGAAAATCAGAATTTTTAAAGCTCATAAACTGTCGAAAAAATGATTGAGAAACAACTTGGATTTAAAATGCAATCGGTCCCGCAGTGGACTGATCGTTAAGACACGGTTCCCAGCAGATCACCGAAGTCAAGCATCACTGGCTACGGTCAGTGTGCGGGTGGGTGACCACTTGGATCAGTCTGCGTAGGGACCGAGGGTGTGCGGTATT